CTTATACCTATGATAACTCCTCACTATGAAGAGTTCTGAAGGTGTGGAATAAATGAGGCGGCATAGTACATATATGTACTATGTAATAGACAGCACTTCAAGGTGACTATAAATAATCTGGTCTGATTAACTAGAACACTTTGATTGGAGTATAAACTAATGTGATTAGCTGACAAAACAGAGGTCTTCAGATACGGTATTATTTGTTTCGGTACTATCTTACTATTACGACTAAATCATACCTTAAAAAGACTGATTAAGTTATTTTTCTCCAAGTGTAGGTAGTTTAGTGCTTACACATAGAGCATAGCCTTAGAGTCGGTCCATAATCAAAGGCGACACCTCTTTTCTGGCTTGCTTCATCAATCATATCAGAAGCGCTGCGAGCGCGCCAAAAAGCATATCACCATCGCCCCATATTGACGCTTCTGTTACAAGCGATTTGAACCGAGTTGTACCGAGACATAAGCACATAAATATACTACACACACACACAGATACACCCATACATGTAAGTGCGCTTATCGGGCACGTCAAATGCGCTTGTTTGGGTGTTCCAACAAGTTACGTTGACGATGACGACGAACTGGTTTGCTGCTGCTGTTGTTGTTGTTGTTGCTGCTGCTGCTGTCTACTTAAAGCTATAGACACTTATAGTATTTATTAATTATCGTATCGATAACTCTCTCAGATTTGTTTGTTTGAGCGCTGAGCTTGGCTTTTCGATGTGTTGTTTGGTTGTTTGCTCGCGGCTATAATGGCCAAGTAAAAATTTAAATTATAAACACTTGGCAGCAGCACAGTTCTATTCGATGGCTGCTCTTTTATAGCTATTTAGTGGCAAGAGGCAACAACAACTGTGACAACAATCGCAGCCACGAAAGAGCACCATTAGCAAACACAGCAGAACCACTCGCACACAAACAGAGCCACAGCTATAGCCACAGCCACAGCCACAGCCACAAAGCATAAAGTTCAGCACCAGCTTGTGAAGTTTTTCTATAGCCCCGACGAATTCAGTTCGATTTGAGCGTATATCGAGCGTGGAACGTGGAGCGTGTGCGAACAGACACACAATATCTTCGAAATACGTAAAATATCAACAAAATAAATATATATATATACTCGTAGACTTGTATATAAATTATTTCATTGCGTTTAAGCAACGGCCTAAACAAAATGTTTTCACGATCTGAGTGCTGAGTGGCTGAGTCAGCCAAAAAGAGAAGTGCAGTGGAAAAATGTGAGAAAATTTAGAAGTGGTCGCCGTCGCCGTCGGTATGCGCGTCTTGTCGTTAAAGTTAATTAAATTTGGCATAGAATTTCCATTAGCTAAAAATAGCTAATGAATTACTCGTAGCAGCCACAAAAGTATCAATAAATCCATTAGGAAATTACGTATGCAGCTGACAATACGAATATGAATATCGTTGAAGGTGGAGCCCCCAAAACGCTTATGGGCTACGATGAGTCAAAGTTTGCCGAAAAGATAAGACACTTGTCGCCCACAGAACAGGAAGCAGTGAAAATATTTTGGAGGTAAAGCTGATAATGGCCCGCCACTATATGCTGTTAGATAAGCGGGACATGCCGCGTGTTGAAAAGTAAATTAATTGGCTAAGAAACGGGTTCAAGCGATTATTGGCGCCGTGTATAGGGAAGATTGAAGCTAGATATGTTTGTATCTATGTGCGTGGTTTATGTTGTGATTGTTGTTGTTGTTGTTGTTGTGGCTGCTGTGTTTGTGTGGAGGTGTCTGTGGCTTGGCAAACAAGCGTGCACACCTTAAAGTCTGCATCTGATAGCGAGTAGTGTGTGGCAGCCAAGTAGCATCCATCGAAAACGCACTTAAACGCACTCTTAGAGTTCGACAAAGAAAGCTCAAATAGCCATAATGTGCAGCCACTGGTCTCTGCAATATTGAAAGACATTTCATAGATGAAACAAGTTATCATATTAAAGATAAAGTCTGGCTGATTGTTTGTAGAATAGGCCATCGAAGTGACGATTAATTCATATTACTGTCTTTTTTAACTTCCTCAAAGCATCTATTGTTTATTTGCTTCTATTAACTATTAGATAATACACTTAGCTTGAGCGTAACACGCCTACTGACGGCTTTATACGCCAATATTTCACAACTACTGCTTTTCTACAGATCTACTTATAATCGCTGCTTTGGCTGGGAGTGCTTTGTCGACCAAATTAATACTCTTACATACACAGAAATATATATGTATCTATTATCCCATATATTGCTAAAAACAATACTATCGATTGCAAGTAGAGGGGTTCTAAAGGCAATTTCCCTCTATTTAGAGTGAGTGTAAAATCTGTCTCGCAGGCAGCACCTGAGTGCCATATTTCACAATTTTCTAAAAATTTGCTAAAAAAATAACATGAGATGTTTAATTAACAAATACTGTGCACAAAATTTAAACGATAACTGATACAGTCGCGTTTTAATTAATACTACAATAATAATATTTGCATGTATTACATAATCTTGGAAATAAGTTCTTGACTCTAAATGTACTGCAGATGGGGGTCTCTGAAGTACAACTGAATAGCAAGTTCCCTAGCCAGTTTGTTATTAGTTGCTGTACAATTTATAAAACAATTTAAATAGAGTGAAGGAAAACTTTTAATTTGTTTTAGCACATATAGAGTAAATCTACATTATTTATAAATGTAAGTGTGTTTGAATCAGGCAATCAGGCTCTGGCAAAGGTGCTGTCCTAACCGATAATTATTTAATTCGTATACCCTTCAGGAATTATTAAAAATAATTCCAGAAAAAATATAATATGTGTGTATATACATATGTAAAAGTCTTCATTATTATGAAAGCTTTTTCTTTCAGCTAATAAGGTGTTTACAAAATATTAGCATGATTTATTTATTAACTTCTTTTTATTTTACATTGAAAGCTTTTTAAAGCTAGTCACACAGCTACGAGTGTATCTGGATTCCAGTGTGTATGTTTCTTCTTTTTTAAGCGTGAAGTTCCGAAATGACGTATTTTTTAGATACTGGTACAATCGCATACCCAAGGCAAAGGGGGAACCTTTTTCTAACTGAACTTATCTGAGAAGCGGTCGAAAAACGCGCGTGAACCGCCAGCGGTTTCTACATGTGCGAGTGGATGGGGCGAACGTCAAATATTTATTTTGCCATTGACAACTGTTCAAATAGAACTTATTTATTGCGTTTAAAAATAAATCAGTGCTCGGCAAGTCAAAGACAAGCATCTAGTATGTAGGTGCCGCATTGTGCAGTTAGATATAAAAATATTTGTGGATACGAATGTGTGTGTGTGTGTGTGTGTGTGTGTGTGTGTGTGTGTGTGTGTGTGTGTGGAGGCACACTTGCTGCTGCAAGAACATCTTAAAGTTCTGAGACGAGGAAAGTCATAATAAAATATATCAAGTTGTCAACATTTTGAGCTCGTAGCCCTCTGTCGCCTGAGACTTCTTTGGGCGCCGTCATCAGCCAACGTCTGTTGTTTGCCCCTTTGGTTGGGCTGCATAGTTCGTTGATGTTTGTTTTTGCTGTTGTCGTTGTTGTCGTCGGTATTTTGAAACATTTTTGAAAAAATGCGCGCCACAAAATCCACAATAATCTGTTTGCCATGCCATAAAGCACAATGCAGTGCCTCGCATCGCCTCGGCACTCATTAGCGAACTTTGCAGCACCCTGTGCCCGTCCCTTTTCCATTTGAGTTTTCCAGGAAAATGCATATAGTATACTTAGTATAGTATGTAGTTTTACATGCGTGCTACATTTTTCATTTTAGCGTAGGGGTTGCTACATTTTGTTCTTCTCAAACGGAAGCTGCAATTATTTATAATTTGTTTGGACAACACAGAGTCTGGAAATGCATGCGTTCTGTCCTTTATTTGGTTTTGTTTTTGTTATTATTTTCCTTGGTTTCAGACGACAAGGCAATTAGCCAAAACGGACTTTGCCAAACTTGGCCATCGTCCATGCTTTATTAAATTAATTGCCTGTCATGTTTGCCACGCTTACGGTGCTACAATAGCAACAACAAGAACATGCTTATTAAAAATAATAATAAACAAATAAAGTTGCAGAGCTGCAGAGATGCAGCTGCGGTCTGTGTGCGATTTGCCACCATAAGTATACTCGTAGCATTTAGCTCTCACATCTTTCTTGTTTTCGATTCCAAAAAAAAAAAAAAAGTATGTAAAATGAAAATTTATGCGCCAACTGATTTATGCGACTGCCCCCTCCCCCCCGAGTCGCTGCTTCATTAAGGTGGAACATGTTGTATGCGTTTATTTTTGGAGCTGAGCACCAAAATTCATATGCAACATATAGAGGCATACACATATCTATATACGATTATGATGTGTCTTCTTTTGGGGTGAAGATTTGTTGTCATTCTTCTTGTTGTTGTGTTGTTGTTGGTGTTGTGGAAATGTCTAGTCACAATTTGTTGCGCTGACTGCACGCTGTTTAAAATTGTCATAATTAGAAATTATGTTAATTGGATTTGAAATGGCGGCGTGGTTCAAAAAATAAAAAATCTGAAAATGTTGCTGCTGGAGGCAAAGCCAAGATATGTATCGCAAATAGCCAAGAAGGGGAGAGAACATGGGCGGATGACAACTTTTTTCTCTCTTTTAGCCGATGATGAAAAGCAAACTAAACCAAAGTTGACGGATGTGTGGGTGGGTTGTGAAAATATTAGATTTGCCGGTCTTCACTGGCTGGGGATTTAAAATTGAACAAATATTGTTGTGGTGCTGTGGTTCTTTAGGTACCTTTTTGGATTCGATTTGAATCTAACCAATCGTGTTAAAAAGGTGGCCCAACGATGTGTCTGCAATTTATTAGATAGCTAGAATTCACACACATGGTCACAAAACACTACTTACGAATACTCTAATACTTAGCCCATCCAAGTATTTACTCACTATTTTATTTTCGATTATTCCTAATTGCATTCTCATCTCTCTATCCCTTTGCCATTTCAGGTCTCTTGTTTTGCGCAGCCAACGTGCCTTCGTTGAGGAAAATGGTAAGTGTGGCAGCCGTGTGGGCTTAAGCCACAAAGCTGTGTGTATTTAATAGGCATACATAGACGCAGAGATATGTACATATGTGTCTGATGTTATTTACAACCACAATCGCAGCGAAAGACAGCGAACAGCAGATGTGGGTCAACTTGACGCCCGTACATGGCTTGAAAGCCCAGAGACGACGAACACGGCTCAGACAACGCCCACCGGCGGCAATCGGCCAGATCAGCACTAGGGCCACTGGCAAATTTGTCACAGTGTACGCAGATTGGCGCCAGCCTCTCGGATGCATGCAAAAGTTTTCCATTGTCCATAAGGAACCCACGCAGAGCTCGGCTCTTTCATTTCCCCTCACAGCTAAAACGCCTCAAAACAATTGCAGCAAAAATATTTTGGTTGCCCGCAACAATGAATGCGATTTTGATTAAAGCTGGAACCGGTTTATTGGCAAAAATATTTGCCTTATATTGAATTAAATTTGTGTGTGTGCATTTTTTATATATATTTTTTTTTCATTTTCAATTTTATTTGGCGTGATTTTATGACGGCGGATGTGAGTTGACATGTGACGTGGGCGTTGTCAGTTAGTTGGCGTTAATTGAAGCAATTAAATTCGTGGATATTTAACGAGTTGACATGAGTCTGAAATACGACCAAGTGCGAGATCGTTTAATTAAATCAAAAATACAAAAATTGATTTTTCCTATTGTTTAATTTTGAAAATATGTACAATTGTTGCTTTCTTTACTGCCCTCTATAATACAATATAAATAATATTCAAAGCATTTCAAAATTGTGCAAAGAAGCAACAGAGTCTAATTAGTAATAATTTCATGAAGTTGTTTTAAATTTTTTGTTTTTGAATGGTTTCCTTATATTACTCAAGGCATGATCGGACCGACCAATAACTTCCACACAAATTCGTGTAATGCTTGTACAACTTATTTTACTTTATGTATTTAGATTTGTGTATTTAGATTTTGGGGTTAGTGTATGAAGAAGTGGTAGAGAAGAGAGAGAAATGGGGAAATTAATTTCATAGTTAGTATGTATACATATTGTGTTAGACAAGAACGTACACGATTATAATGGGTTTTAAATAAAACACAAGAGAAGAGAGTGAGGGGGAGGAGAAATAGCTTGAAGGATGACACAATGCTTATAAGCTATGGCTATATGGCTATTAATTTTCAAAAGCAGTCATTTGTTGTTTAAAAATGTTTGCAAAGTAAAAATACAATAAAATCTTCAAAACTTTGAAATTGCATTTGAAAACTTTGAATATTTGTAGCATACAAGTAGTAACGACTTCTTAATCTTATATAAATCCTGATATATAAAAAAGTGTGTATGTCAATTATTGCCTGTTTGATTGTAGATTTACAAAAATAAAATATTCTATTACAAGTAAAATATAATTGATATAAGCGGAAATGCAAAAGGCTTTATGCGGCAAAACATATATTTTTTATATCTATATATTTTTGTTATCCATAAATTATCTAAAATTTTCCACTTGTCGGCAAACTTTCTGAAATATGTTTTATCAAAATTTTTTAATGTTTTACCTACGCAAATAATTGCTGAAAGATGTGAGAAAGCATAAAACTAAAGAAATATCCAAACTAATTGGATAATTAAACGCACACCCGGAATCGTAAAATGCGCTCCACTCCAAAGAAAATTCAAGGGAAAGCTGTGAAAAGCAACTGTTGCAATTAAGCAGAAATGGAGGGGCACACAGAAGTATATGCATACATATATCTAACTATACTATACTATATAGTATATGTATATGCAGGCAATCATAAATATTTTTTATTTTTTGGTGGTTTGTCAAGCGAGTCGGGCCGTGCAATTAGATCGAAGAGTAGCGCACGTGTTGCACATAATTATTTGATTTTTTTGTGCTTTGCGGTAAGTTTATGTTGTTGTTGCCGAACATCACCGTTAGCTTCATTAGCCGTTGCAGCTGCAGTTGGACGCCTACCCGTTGCCACAGACTTCAGGCCCAGCCTCCGTACGAGCGAATTGTACACATGTCAGTGGGGCCGAGCAACCAGTTTTAATTTTAGCTTTTTTTTGTTTTTGTTGTTGTTGGTCAAAATTCATTCACAAGTCGACCAACTTCATTTCGTATGCCGCACCGTTGTCGTGGTCTTCGCCTCCTACGCTAAAAATTTAGTCATTACTCGTACCTATGTGGTTGTGGTTGTGGCGTGCCACTCCGTTGCGGCCCCAATATGGCTGGGCAATCTGTTGTACAATATAGTATATTCGCACGAGTATATGAGAATACGTGTTCGACTCGAGCATAATGTACTCGCTGCTGAGTTGTGGCCTGTCTCCTGCGCTAATTTCTCAATTTTTATGTGATCGGTGTAGCGATTTATGTCGCTGGAGTTGCAAGGCGCCTTCATTTCTTTCTTGGCTCTATTGTTGTTGTTGTTGTTTGCTTGGGACGTGCAAAATGAAGTTGTCGATTTGGTGTAAACGTAAACGTTAATAAGCGCAAAAATTAAAAGAAAGAAGCTGATTTTACGGCAGCAAAGTATTTAAGTCATTTAGTTGAGAAGGGAAGAGGGATGTTGTTTCATGTTCTGCATTTTCTTGGCTACAAAATATTACTTTGAATTGCAAAAAAAAAACGTTTTCCGAATCGTTAAATAGAGTCGAGCAGGATTAATAGGTGCCTTGTATTCAAGGGCCAAAGGTAGTCGTATTATTATTATACATAGCCAATTTTCTACCCAAAAGTGTAGCTTATGATGTAGCTGCAGATGGGCGATAATGAGAGCTTTTATAGTTAAACGAGTGTTACTAAGCTTATCTGCAACTACATACATACATAGGCCTTAACTGAAATCACGTCGAATTTTTATAGCTCTTATTTGGTTTGTTTTGGCTCTTTCTGTTTATGTCTTTTATACATTGGTATTCACATATAAGGTCAAAAGTGTATTTAATATTTTGAAATCGCTTTAGGTTGCCTCTTTTCTTTTCTTTTCTTTTCTTTTCTTTTCTTTTCTTTTCTTTTCTTTAAGAATGGAGCCAGGCTCATTTCATAGTTGTTTTCTACCAAAGATCTCCCTAAACGATACCCACAGATGTGCAATGTGTAGATCGGTATGAAGTTTTGCATTCTCTCTATGCACGGGTCTTGTTCTTTTTTACCGAACTCGATCGATTAGCTGACATATCTATACTATGGAATAAAGAAAAATGTTTGATATCCTAAATTCTAAAATTTTGGAATGACTACGGAACATATCGTGTTATCGAATATATTGTTCATCTTTAAATTCATTAACAACTTGCTTTTAATGGTGAATAACAATATAACAATATTAGCTCCATGGTTTCATTGATACTTGTAGAACCTTTTGAAATTGTATCATAAAAATATAATTTTGATGAAAAATTAATGAAAACATTCAGCTTATGTTTTAATATTTTATTTTACTTTACTTTTCATTGTTTTTAATTTATGAATATTATTGAAAAGTATTTGCTTTATATGTGTAGTTGAGCTATTTAAAATAATTTTTAAGTGGTATAGGCATACCGAATTGTTTCTGCCTTCCCTGGAAAAGAAATGCTATTTTATTCCGCCATCGAGTCTTGGATTGAAAGAGATCTCGGAACTCAGACACTTTGTTATCCAACGTCTTTATCTTGAGTTCAGCTTCATTCTTCATTCTTTGATGCATCATTTACTCCTTTATTAAAAAATTTAGAGTTAGATGGCGTATAAAAATGGATTTGTTAAAACAAGTATATTGCCAAAAATCTCTTATCTCATTTGGAAACATGAAACAAAGGGCAATTTAAAGAATCTGAGGAATTAGACATTTTATAATGGGCATTGCTCTCCGCCTACACGGTAGGTTTCGCAATGGAAACATTTCAATCAGCAAACAGAGTGCAAAGAAACTTATGTATCTTATGGTGGCAACAACATCAGACACCGCACTCAGCCAGCAATTAGGCGACATTACCAAAACCGCATTCCTAGTGGCAAGCGACGCCTACAGAGACGCCCAGCACTTGCCAAGTTGCCGAACACGCACTAAATACACACGCTCCGGCAATGATCGTCAATGTGCTCGTGTGTGGGTGCGAACAGCAACGGCAGCAGATAATTAAACAGCGAGCAACGCCATTAACACCGATCGGCATAAACACGCTCGAATCGATGTCCAAGCCCACTCCCCCGCACACGCCGTCACTCTCAGATATTATCTACTTGTAGTATATCTGAGCAGTCGGTTGAATGTCCGTGGCCATGACTGTTGTTAATTACAGTGCGACGAGCTCATCAATATGCAGCATATTAATAATATTACGAATATATGTATATCGTGTATACGCCACATAGTCCACAACACTTTCCCAAATCATATGCAAACCAGAATCGTCTCGCCCACGACTTGAATTAATAAACGCGCCCACCTGTAGCTTTTGTAGCATTTGTTTAAATGAAAGCGGCCAACAGGCAGACAAGCTGTCTTGGCCATTCAGCGATATTTATGAATGAAAAGTGAAAATGCAGCACACACGCACACACATACTACATGCATGTGTATGTAACTGCTGAGCTGCAGCTACTCACTACTAGATGGCGCTGAATTGTGAAAAGCTTAGAGCAACAGGTAGTACTAGACCTTTTAATTATTTTTGATAAGCTTGATAAAAGTTGGCTATCTTATCGCCAATTAAATGCAAACGCCAAGCCAGGTAGTTGGACAATGAGCACTGCTAGATGCCACAACAATACGCCGGTCGGCCGTTAGATGTCTTCGAATCGCTCAGAACTTTTCATTATCAAATTTTCGGCTAGTGGGTTGAGGTCAGCCAAGTCGACTACGCGTAGACTACTCGTACTACTACTACCTTTTCAACAACATGTGCATGTGATGAATACTTTTTTGGAAAATTAGTCGGTTTAAAAATGTTGTGGAATTTCGTGTGGCTGGCACTGCTGTGGCTGTGGTATGAGGCCAAGAAGGTACCAAGTGAGTCAAATGTGAATATTGGAAACTAGAACGAAAAGTTATTTGATATTCCACTTTACGAGTATGTCTTATTTTTGTCTGACTATACTCGGAGTTTACAGTGAAATCTTTTCGATATTTATGTTGTGCGGAAATCACTTAAAGTACAATTCTCAGTAACGCCAACTCGCACACTGAAACTTGCTTGCTATATAAAAGATACGCACTCCATATTACAAATTATTTAAATGAAAACATTTGATAGTTTAGGTTTTGAACACACTAGTTTCACATAAAAAAATGAATAAATGAGTTTAATAAGACAACTTAGACTAGTTATTAACAATACACATAAGAGCCTAAGAGTAGCATTGAAGAAAGTAATATACATATTACCCAATCGACAATCAGTCCACATACAACTGAGACGAATTACGAGTATAGATAAATTAGTAGTTTCATTGTATTAAATTGTTATTGTATATTATCTGATTTATTGTATTTTAATATAAGTATTTATTTTTAAAATATTTAGTTAAAGTCAAGTCACACGCTGAGTGTTTTATCTAAGCTGTATAATTTTGTATTGCCGTGCATGTATTTATGATCCAATTAGGCATAAATATTAGCCTCATATCAAGAAATCCGTCTCGCAGATACACGAAGAATTCGTCGAATTGTCTGTCTGGACCGTGGCTGCTGCTCTGCCACTCCGCGATATCAAGACTGTCTAAGCTTTAACTTGTTTTTGTTGTGTGGCAGCAGGTGTGGCTGTCAAGCCAAAACCACAACAGACACAGACAGTATATCGAAAAGCCACTTAGAGCGAATTAAGCTACTCTTGTAGGTTTTGTGTTTTGTTTTATTTGGTTTTGTTTTGTGGCTGTATCTGCGGCCAATACCAGGAATTGAAGACAGCAACGTGACCTTGATTGTGACATTCAGATATGCGATACATATTTCAGATACATTTGGCAAAAGGCTCGCTGAAAATTGATAGCTTCAATCTGAACTTTTTTGTTTTGTATCTTGCAGGCCGCCAAATGCCAACTAACAATGGCAGCGCCAACAACAACAACAACAACAACAGCCATAACAATCCACTGACCACGTCGTCGGCGGCGGTGCGCAGCTGCAACTGTTGTCCCTATGGCTATCACATTGATCTGGACTTTGTGCGCTACTGCGAGGCCCTGGCGAATGCCAAGCCCTCGGAGGAGGAGTTGCGACGACGCGATCGCCGCCGTTCCCGCAAGTCCATGGAGTTCATGTTGGGATTTGAGAGTCTCTTTGGCAGCGATTGGCAGGCGGAGTCACGTGTGCAGGCCAAATTGCCAGAGGTATGGCTTGCCAACATTTTGTTGGGTGGTCGTGTAGTGTTGCTTAGCGCATAAATCACATGCTTAGTGGCTGGCACAGCTTTGATCTTTTAATTACGGCTGACAGTTTGCAGTCAATGGGCCAACATCAAAGTTTTGCCAGCGCACTTGGCTGTAGTGCAACTATTAACTTGTCACCTGTCCTCACGCACAGGCTGCACATGAAAGCGAACCGGATTCGCCACGCCCCGTCACCACATCTCAGGCGTATACAGCCTGCTATCGACCGCGCTCCTCATCCGTGCCACGATTCACTTACGGCAATGGGAATGCCTACGGTTCGGCTACCCGTGCCGAGTCGCCCTTCGGCACCGCCTCCTCCACATGCTCATCACTGCGCGGTGGCGTCGAGAGTGACGCGGGTGTCTATCATAGTTTCGGTCCTGGGCGACCCGCCAACAGTCCTCCGGAGACGCGGGCCTTTCTGCATGAGGCACTGGACGAGGTCTGCAGCGACTTCGAGCGCACACTGGAGCGTGCCTCGGTGCGAAGGCGAAAGGCGGGAGGTGGCAGTGGCAGTGGCGCTGGCTATAGTTCTTATGGCTCCATGGATCGCAACAACAACAGTTTGAGCAATGGCTTTGGAACGCCGAGGGGGGAGAAGGAACAGCGGCGGCTCGGAAATAGCGCCTGGGATCGTTACTTTGATGTGGCAGGTGAGTGCCGAGACTTTTTGACTAATGCTCAGAGAGAAATACTTGTATAAATAAATTAGCTGAAGCTCTTTCCTTTTATCTTTACTTTTTGTTTTTGTTCCGCTACTCTGTTGAGCGTATGATTCATGGTGACACATTCGCTTTGAGCAGTTGTGGTAGTTGTAGTATCTGGCAGATACTTTTGCTTTCTTTCTTTTCTTAAAAATTAGCGCTGCCCGGCACATGTGACATTTTTACGCACGAAAGTGTGAAACATTTTGCGCAACTGCTGCAGGGAATGCGACACAATGGTTGTCTTTGGCATAATTTGCCATGAAAATACATTTCACAAAATAAATCTTCAACGTTAAAAAGATATTTACATAATTTTGTTAGAATTACATAAATTGTACTTATGTTACTTTACCAATTGTTTGTGAGAAAGGAAAACTTCCCTCTTAAACTACACCCAAGCTATTCCATAATTACAAGAATTGCTAATTTTTATACTTGTAAATTAAAGCCAATTTTCATGTGTTTTTTTCTCTACGCTCCAATCAAATTATTATTGAAGTTTATTTTTTTTTTACTTCAATTAATTCCATAAAATATAGTATATCATATTGTATTGCTAAGAAGTATCATACAGATACAGAAATATTTGGCCAGCACACTTATTTTATTCTTTAGTAAATATTAATATAAAAATAATAAAAAAACTACTTTTCAATCTCATTTGCGTGCAAATTTGTAATCTTTTAAGAGAGTATACTTGAAGAACTATCAAGAGCTGTCGAAAGTATTTGAATCCAAATGTAAACTGTAAGTTCAACTTAAAACCGTTTTCAATATATACAAAGATAATAATAATCATACAGACAGACTGATGTCTACGAAGTGCCTAGTTATAGTATTAAGTGTGTTATAATCTTCTCTTTTGGGTGTTTCAAAGCTACACACAAAACAAAATAAAACTGGAATTATATTCCAGTGAATCGTACAGGAACGTGCAATTCACAATTAAGTTGTTAGTTTAAAAATTGTGTCTAAATATTTGTTACATGCTAAGTTTTCTAGTAGTTTTTTTTATATCTTTAATCTTTATTTAATGTCTATTTTGGACAATTATTAAATTTTATGATAACTTTGACAATTTGTAGTCATGTTTCTGTTATGATGGCACTCGCAAGCCTACTCAACCCACATTGTGGGACTCCCGCTAGCTCGCTGTACTACTTCCAATATTTTGATGTTCTCTTAGTTATCATTAGATACCAACTGCATGTCTTCTAAGTTGAAATATTGCTTAAAGCTTCAAGATTTTATTCACTCGCCATCTCAATTAATATTGCACAGCGTGTGAAAATTCTGTGATGTTGTCAGAGTAGCAGCTGCGTCGGCTTGTGATTGCACAAGGCATTTGAATTCGCAATTCAGAGTTCAAAAAAGGAATAGGAATATGCAGGCTGTCACAATTACTTAGCCAGAGCTCTGCCGGAATAATTCAATTTATGCTTGGATGCCCAAAATGCAAGCAAATCAGATTTTCAGCTGCACACAGCTGCGCAGCTACAGATAGTCTTAGAGCATAGATACAGTTGCGATATAAGTATAAGTTGTTGATATATATATTTGTTTGCATCTTTGGCATTTTCAATTCCATTGGAGCTTACAAGCGAAAAACAGCTTCAACCTCAAGGCAATGTTGGTGCTCGTATCTTAAATCAATTTGAAATGCGCGTTTGGCGCTCAATTTGCATGCAAATTTTTTCGGTTTGGCTCTGCATGTATTTGTTTATGCGATAAATTTGCAAAAATAAGAAGAAAAAACGGTTGTTGGAGTAAAAACATGCAAAAAATCGCGCGTATAAAATCGCATACAAAACGCGCGCAAATAAACAAATCAAATTGTCGCTTTTGTGGGCAACAATTTAGTTGGTTTTGTGGTGTGGCGGCCAGTTTGTATGACTTTGATTAATGGTATCTGAGGTTTATATCAGCATACATATAGATACTTTTCATATACTGTATGTATGCAAATATGTGTATTGATTGCCTTTTTCGTCTTGGTAATTGCCGGAGCTTATATTCGGTGTATTGCCAAAAACATTCAAATATGCAGGCCTATTTGGCAGATAGAAATCTCTAACTTGGCGCCATTTCTTCCAAACCGAGACAGCAATTGAACGAGAGCCAAATGGCAAATGCGTGTAAGGTGTCCAGGCAGAACTAATTTGGCAACCTTGCGGCCTAAAAGCATATGGAACACGAAAAATGCTTACAACTAAACGAACAGATCAACATAAATCAAGAGGCAACAGAGGCAACAGGCTCGTGCCCCTGACATAAAACCCCATATTAATCTCATATGCAAATTGCTAGATAAATAAAATGAAAATCAATAATACTATTATTATGCCTACTATACATAAGTATACATATGTGTATGTGTATGTATAGGTGCGGGTAGTTGTAGAATATCATGGCAAACAAACGTCTTGAAGACGTGAAGACATCGGTACCTCACGCAGTTGCCCGAGACTAAATGTGTTGCCGATGCTAACGTTTAGTTCGCGGCATTATAGACATCATCGGCATTATCTCTTTGATAATAATGTGCATTTAGCTTATCGTCAATGGGCCGCCCGCCTAGCTTCGCCGTTGTCTCTTTGATTACTTAATTTTTGTTTGCTGAGCGGCCAGCAACCTTATCGCTGCTCCAATGCTCTCGCATTTTTTGTTATTTTTTGTTGTATTCAACAACACATAACAAATTTCGTATATTTTTTGCTGTTCTCATTTTGCACAAGAGCTGTTAAATAATTTTGCCTGCTATTAACAAAATCTCTGCTGCTGAAGGTTTTTTGTCGCTGTCGGCTAAATGAAAATCTCAACGCAGTTTGTCGACGACTTTCGAACGAAAAGCACTCAATTCGACTGGCTGTGCAGTAAAATAGCAAATATGATTGACCATAATATATATAGAATGTAAAAAGTATAACAAAGCTGACTTTGAAATACCAAATAGGCAAGGCAATAGACATTGCGCTAAACGAATGGAAGCATCGACAAACTAACGAATAGTAAACGAACAAATTAAAACCAAATTAAATCAACAAAATTACTCAAACCACATCAATTGTGAAATCGGCAACAAAATGAACGAAAGTGCTATTAAAAATAATGACTGGAGAGCAATAAATTGAGGAGCATTTGAAAACAGAAACGAAATACAGCAAAATTAGATGGAGAGATATTTACTGATAGCCGTTATTGGATAAACATGACGAATTAATCATTAAGAGTTTGCCAAAAAAATATTAATATTAATATTATGAAACGGCGAATTTAGTTGAAGAAGAATTAATTGGGTACAAATTAAAATATTGAAAAATGCTCACAATATTACAAAAAATAAAGCACGAGTTTCTGAAAAGTGAGTGAACATAATATTGTGAACAGCACTGTGTTCCAAGCAGATAACAACGTGTGACGCTTTTGGCTGCTCTGTGTGTGTGCTGTGTTGATTTTGCCTTAATGTGTCTGTGAATGCTGTTCAATATGATTTAATAGTATTATTAATACAGAATTGAGCAAACTGCCCTAATTAACACAAATAGCCAATAATATATAAAATGCTTTGCCAATGCCAAGAAGCCACAGTGCAATGCTTGCCCGGCTGCTGCGCCTAATTGTGCCATTATTTGTGCTCTTGAATTAATGATCAGAGGAATTGAAAAAAAATGTTTGCCACGGCCGCTGACACGTTGCCAGTTCGTCGCCTCAGGGAGCAGCGCAAAACAAAGATGAAGGCGAAGCGGGCCACGGAGCAGGCGGTACCAACAAAGAGCTGGTGGAGTGATTGTAGGTTTGCTGCAAAACCAATAGCTCTATATCAATTCCATGTCTGATTTACTCCACCAAGTTGTGCGTACAAATATGCAAAATCTTGTTTACTTCGCTCAATACTAGCCATTATGATCTGCTGACGGGTTCACAAAGTCAACTTGGCTGAGTAAATCACATGTTGAAAAGAGCAGCTAAAGGTCATTGGACCAAATTTTCATTTTACTAAGCCCATTATTAACATGCCCCAGCTGATTAATTATGCACTGTCCAATGTTAGGACACGCACGCACCCCTTGCATGCCTGCCGGCCATCATGTGTCGTTGCCTTGACCATTCCGACTATTGCCAGCCAGCCCATTTGGCACCGGGCATTGGGCACTGGCTAGCCAAGAAATAGAAATAGCAACGTTTTATTTTTGCGCAAGAGTTCAGTGCACAGCACAAAACAACATCAGGTTATAGTCGCAGCATGACAAAAATAAGGAAAGGCAGATAGGAGAAGAAAATAAAGAACATGAAAAGTCGACAAGTGTGTGGCGATGAGTAACGCACAGTGAGCGGCACTTTGCATGCCAATTTATTGCGTATACGTCATGTGGGTTGACGTTGGCCCTATAAATATTAAAAATTTGGCGTCAACGCACACTGATAGATGGGACTTGCGTTCCATATATTGGCGCCAGTAAACCCCTAAGCAAGGGCGTTAGGTATTGAATAATAAAAGAAAACATTGTCTCTTGCAAACAAATGCGCATACTCGTACATGTGTATACATATTATATATACTATAAAGAGTACAAATATTGAATTGAATTAGCACGGGCAGCTTATCAGTTTGATAAAGTAAGCAATAGCCCGTCAACAAGCGCTTCCACAGGCAAAGGTTGAAACAGTGCCGCATTCCCATCTATTCTTAAACGTATTCGGGTGGAAAAAGTGCGCTACAGACAATATATCATATTGTTTTGAAATATTGGAATAAGGGTGACATGAAAGCCTAAACAAATAAGGCAAATAATGTGGTATAGTTGAGCTGAAGAAATTTCGTAAATACTTTCCAGTTCATCTTTACATATGTTTATATTATCGGGACTGCGAAAAACTGTTAAAAATAAAGAAAATGTAGACATTTTTTTTGCATAATCGTTGCCTAATTTATGGAACTTTGTTATGTCCGTGAAAAATCTATCTATATCAGAACAAATATATTATTTAAGCACGCGTTTGCTTGTGCTTATAAGTATATAATACTTTTATCAACAAATTTGCTTTGCACTCAAACTTTAGCATTTATCCAATATACATAGATTTTTTTAAATTTACGGTATTTTTATTGAATCTTTTATATGAATCTTCTCTCTTAGAGAGTAACGTCTCTTCACCGGAGTTGTATAGTGTGGCTACTGTTGAAAGTTAAATACTGCGCAAGTCTATTAAAATAGACTAATACTTGGATTGAAGAACATATCCATTACAGCAAGCTGAACCGATATTATACAGTACTAAGGATAACCATTAGTCACGTAACAGAAACACTTTGCCATTACATGCTTCTTGTGACCACAGGTCACACTTTTTCAAAAAATTCATATTTTTAAAAACAATTTTTGACGGGATTTAATTTTATGTAGAACATCACTTTTTATTCCAAACACATATTTTATAATAATAGTTTTGTTCAAACTACGATTTTGAAACTACCCATCCTACGTATCCCAAGCGAAATCGCAACTGAATTGTGATTACGTATGACCGCCTGTTATCTACAGTCTTTTAGGCAGCGTATCGACGGTTCGTTTTGGGGCGTATTTCTTTTAGTAGGTCGCTAACTAAACTTTCAAATTATGCGCACTATGGCACAGATATTAAAATTAGATTTCACAGTATGAAGAAAGACGAATATCAGTATATAAATTTTGTTTATCACAAAAAAGCACTTTGCATTACAAAAGCTAGGCGTGAGCTTTTTAACGATGCAGACTGCGACCATTTTAGTTGTTCACTGCCAGCGTCCATGTCTAGTTTGCAAATAAAAATTGTTTTGCGCAAATTAGATGAACTCCATCTAGAAAGGCATAGTAATTTCGACACAAATTCCCATGCACTAGATAACTTAAACATGTCCTTCTCTTCGGCAGATTCCTGTATAGCGGGAAATCGATCTCCACGTACCAGCACCACTCGTCTCTTCTTACGCTCCAATACGCTGCCTCTGCAGCAGCGACCGAGTCCAGCTGAGGTGCAGTATGAGAGCTATGTGCAGGCCACAGTGGCGGCCAATGCCAAGTCGCCGGTGGAACAACTCGAACCGGGTATGGCCCCGCCTCCGCCACCGCGTCGCCATCATCACCACCAACCTCAACTGCTGACATCTAGGACGAAAGAGGAGCCGGAGACAGTGCCGAGCAGTACCCCGCACTCACCGGTGGTCTCGGAGACAGGTGCTGCCGATGCGCAAGCCTTATGCCAGATTCGCGAACAGATGGCACTGAGTCTGAAGCGATTGAAGGACTTGGAGGAGCAGGTCAAGACCATACCCGACATGGAGGTAAGTGGGCGATCACTCTTATTGCGAGTAATAAGTTTGCTTTTGCTAATTAAGTTCAGTATTAGAGCTGTGCGTGTGACAAGCAAAGCTGTCCCGATCACCCACATTTAAGATCGTTCGGGCAAGCTTACGACTTAATGCTTACATTTTGTTTACGATTCAGACTATTCTGATCTTTTCTGTGTTTATATCTAGTGTTGTAATATAACAAGTTTTTGCAATCATTATAGGCATGTCTTGAATACCATTTTGCTTATCTTAATGATTCTTTTCAAAAGTGCAAATGTTTCGATTATAGTTTTTAATGCAATGTTCTTTGCAGTCGAAAACGTTTTCCACTGCACATATTTTTCTCAAATCCATTAACACTTTTTTTTTTTAAAGGAAGATTCTAATTTCTTATACCTGTGCTACTCTCTGGAATTTTGTAATAAGTTTTCTTAGTCTTTGTGGAGTAATAGTAAATTGAATGGCGATTGTCATCGCATTTTCAGCCCACAACCTTACAGTTTTACATGTTTTAAGGTTTAGAAAAGGATTCATTTGAACACAAGTACTATGTCTTCCATATTTTACTTCAAAGAAGATACCATCCGGTTGATCTTCCTCACCCCTATCCACCCATCGCCCTACAAAGTCACACATAATTCAAAATCCTAATGCCTATGTTCTTCCATTTTAATTTGCTGATTACTGTTAAAAAAAGAATACTCGCCTTTTGAAAGCTCCCACCCTTTCCTTTTGCCAATGGAAGTTCTCTTTTTGATGCAAGTCCCCACTCCCATAGATACTAAAATATGAAATTGAATACCTAAAGCTTTTAAAAATTATAGGGAGTAGAAATTGAACTCCATGATGATTTCATTTATATATACGAAATAAATATATGACATGTCCACCATGAACAGTTTGTTTGGCAATGTTGATTGAGCTGGTATTTCTTTTATTTTTTACAGCAAGAGCTGAATAGCTTGCGGCAGGAGAAGCAGCGTCTGCTGCGCAGGAACGAGGAGCTACTGCGAACTGCTCGACAGACGCCTTCGCCACCTAGTCCCAGTGCGTCGAAGAACGCCTCACCCGTACAATTTACGCCGCAACGCATTAGTCCCGTTTCTTTGGAGAGTTTAGGTGCGCGTATTCGCAACAACTCCACATCATCCACAACAGCACCGGCCGCAGTCATACGTCGTGATGTCTCGACCATGTGCAAGGCGACCAGTACTCGAGATGTGGCCGTGGGCAGTCCGAAGCTATCCACACGCCATGTGGGCACGCAGGACAATCAAACCGTGTACACGCCACAGGAGCTGGAGGAGCGCATAGAGGTGGCCTTGACGGACCAGCGGAAGCAGCAGCGTCAGCAGCAACTGCAGAAGCTCATCTCTGTGGGCACGCAAATGTATGTGCCCAAGCGGCAGCTGCGGGACATGGGAACCGCTACCGATCGTCCACCACTCACTTACAATGTGGGCGTTAGTGCGAAGCCAAGTACCCGGGAGAATTATGTTCATTGCAAGCCAGATGTGCGCAGTGTGGGCAGCTCTGAGCATCGTATCACGGATATGCTGTGCGAGAAGTGCTCCGTTAGCACGCGTAGCGTAAGCTGTGGCACGGAGTTGGAGCAGCCGCCTAAGCCGGTAGTGTCTGTCAAGTCCTCTCCCCTGGCCATGGCACGCAGCAATACTTTCAGTCTGGGCGAGCACGAGCCTCTGAACATGCGGGCGCGCAAGGCGGTGGGTTGTCAAACGCTTGCCACGCCCCTACACTCAACGGGCAGCCAAACTGTGAGCCTGCCCCAGAAGTCGATGGCTGTGCAGGTGACACCAGCTCAACAAACTGCCAGCACCCAAAGCACTGTGGAGCTTAGCACTCGGCAAACGGATACGACTGGCTTGCAGCGCCTGTCGCGCAGCGCCACCAAGGTGGAGCAAGTGGCCGAGTCTGTGCCAATGCCCGCCACAAGGCACATGGCAAGCAATACCGATGCGGAGCCCGCCAAGGCAGCCACCAGCAACATGGGCTGTAACACCGATGCAGCTCCCTTGATGCCACCAGCACCCTCGCCGAGTCGTGTTCACTCGTCCTGCAACACGGAGCAGTTGCACACGAGGGATGTGGCCTGCGGGGACATTGTGAAGCCGCACATATCCATTGCCTGTGCGGACAACTATTGTGATTCCTGCAAGGATGCCATCCAGCATTTGGCCAAGGACTTCAGCAAGACGAGCACGTCGACATCATCAACAACAACAACAACAACAACAAAACTAACGCGCTCCAGTTCTTCGGATTCCCGCATACCGCGTCCCAAGCATCTAACTAGTCCCAGTCCGGTGCGCAGGCAGATTCAACGACAAAATACATATACGCTGGCCACCCCATCGCCGACGTCCAGTCCCAGTGCCCAACAGGAGTGCAAAACTGTGCTGAGGTGAGTAGCGGAAGCTTTTAGCTGAGACAACAACCCGTCTCCCGAGCATGCTTTGACATGCGCTGTGGCGCGCCATCGGGCCACCGACCTGGTCGCGCGGCTCTTCTTGGTTGACCTTCAGCCCAGTTTTCGTTTCTGCTTTGGCGCGTTGGCAGCTCGCGCTCCATTTTTGTCGCGTTTCCTTTTGTGTTGTTGATTTTGTTGTTCGTTGTTTGGCTTTTGATTTGTTTGCCACACATTATGGTGCTGTCGATGTTCTCGGGCCTGAGCAGCTTCACCTGCTATCCCCTGCTGGTCAGCGGTTGTTCCGCTTTGTTAGTAACGTGCGCGCTCTGGACCAGCATTATTGACAATTTGTTAACACTTTGTTCGCTATTTACAGCTCGTTGCAGGAGAAGCCGCCCAGCTTGTCCAGCTTTCAGGCTCCGGAGGCCGCCAGTGAGACTCAAAGTTTCCTCCAACAGCCGGCTGGCAAGCCAGCTGGTCCCTTGGATCTTTCACAGTTGGGTGAGCACGAGTTGGTGGTGCGCGAGGAAAAGCGTGTCAGCATTAGTTGGTCGCGCGATGCATCGCCAGCCCCCTTGATGAGAACGTCGGGCACCACAAGCAGTGCCAGCAACAAGAAATCCGCTTCCCCAGAGTCCAAGTTGACTTCGTCCAGTGATTCGAGTGCCAGTGTGGCATTGGAGATATCACAAGGTGCGCGCAAGAAATCAAGCACACCTCTCAAATCTAGTCAGAGCGATGGGTCACAGGTGACCGTCATTGAGCGGGAGACGGCACCCACAAAGGCCCAATTGCACAAGTTGGCCATGAGCGAGTCGGAGCCGAGACAGAAGTGAGTATTGATCCGAAATATTGAAACGATTGACCAAAATGTTCCCCCGCTTAGAACTGAAATACCCAAAGAGCTGCAAGATGCTGTAAAGATCATCAACAATTCGCTGCTCAAGAAGCTCGGCTCCAAGCCCATATCTTCGGTCAGCCTCAAAACGGCCAAGACCACCATTCAGGACCATTGGTTTCGCAACTCTAGCACCGGCACCTCGAATGCGCATGAGGTAGAGGACTACTTGGATTACTTCGAATCGCTTTCGGTGCCATTGCTAGAGTATTGCGTGAATCTAGTGGACAAGAATGTAAGTTTTATCGCTTATTTAGTAAACGTTCAATATATATCTACTCTAATATCTAATCGTAATTGAGTTTCATGGGGTTGTAAAAATGTTGTTCTTGGTCAGTTTAATCTGCTGTGTACAAGAAATGATAAACCGCTTCTTTAAATTGAATGACGTTGACGTTCATGTCTGAAATGCTTTAACCGACTTCTTAAGTCATTTTTTCCCAACTAGTATATATTAATTACCCATTCCCTGCAGCCTAGAAGTATGCTATTCAAATGCCATTCGCGGGTTAAAACATGTTAGTTAAAAACCAGTTGAGGGGTACCTCTTGTACTTTTCATACAGTTATTTAGTAAGTAATGCTACTTAGTTAGTAAAAAGACAGATGAAATATGAAGTGTGAAAAATGTTTCGGCAATGAAAGCTAATTGTTAAAAAAAATCGTGCATCCCACAGTCTGCCGGGCCTATCGTAGATAACCACAGAAATTATGGCTACTAAGAGGGTTAGTAAAAAAATAATGTACATACGAAAATACCGTGGATTTTAAGAAAACGATTGGAGTGGGATAAACAATCCAAATCGGCATATTTATCAGAGAATTCTCCTTTGTATTACCTTGTAGTACCACTTCTACGGCGCGTTGGCTCATGTTATGTTAAAAATCGCCTTGAAACTTGACATACATTTTCTCTCAAAGACTAAAAGGTTTTTAATATTATATTCAGAAGGTGAATTTACATATATCTCATTTAAACAAATAATTGTGCAGCAACCATCAACAATAGTACCAAATGGATTTATAACTTTCTAATTATAAATCAGAATATTAGGATACATCAAACCACTATTTTTTGAGTTCGGCAGAATTTTAAAAACTAAACTGTAGGTTTTCTTGAAGCTAAGCAGTTTGCTTGACTTCGCTTCAGTCATTTTATTTTAATTTAATAAATAAACAATTTGTGCTTCGATACAGATTACAATAATGATGTTTTATATATTATTACAATATAATATACAATAAATTAGTTACAATTTAAAAAAAAAGATAAGAAAGCCCTAAAAATAACTGTACAATAATGCCTATTAACGCATTCTGCCATTTGGCCAGCCATGCCCCGATTCACAGCCATATGTGGTCAGAGACATTATAGACCTAACAAACTAAAAAAAAAATAGTAAGCAGGATAGAAAACTTAATTCAACATAATAGCTAATAAGATAAAGTAAGGGACAGGAAGAGAAAAATGCTCGATGGGAGAAAATTTGATTGCCAGTGCAGCAGCTATGCCCCGACTTCATAAAAATGATTGTATCTATTAAATATATTAGATAGATTAGTTTCCAATTACTTTCAATATATTGTGTACATCTATAAAACGTTCTACTGGTTTTGTTTTGTAGGGCAATACAGCTATGCATTACGCGGTCTCGCATGGCAACTTCGATGTCGTATCCATCTTGCTGGATTCCAAGGTTTGCAATGTAAACCAAATGAATAACGCTGGATACACGTGCGTGATGCTCGTCTCATTGGCAAAGCTGAAGCAACCGGCGCATCGGACAGTCGTGGAGCGATTGTTCCAGATGGCCGATGTCAATATACGAGCGAAGAAGGTAGGTAATGCCATTTGAACCGTACGCCCCATTGGCTGAGTGTTACTCACGGCAAACACAACAAACACAACACTTGATTCCACCTCTCCCCTAACTAACCCACCAAAATGCCCAACAAAAAAACACGCCTCACTTTTTCCATTCCAGCACTGCCAAACCGCCTTGATGCTCGCTGTGTCGCATGGTAATAGCGATATGGTCGCCATGCTGCTCGCCGCCGGCGCTGATATCAATATACAGGACGAGGATGGAAGCACGGCACTCATGTGTGCTGCCGAGCACGGACGAGTCGATATTGTTAAGCATTTGTTGTCGCATCCGGATTGCGATTCATTAGTACAGGATGTGGTAAGCATTGCCAATACTACTTGTACTAGACTGTAATCGTGACTAAATTGATTAAATAATGAATTAATTAATCCTTGTTAAATTTCAGGATGGCAGCACTGCCTTTAAGATTGCCTGGCAGGCTGGACATCGAGATGTGGGTCTTCTCCTCTACGTCCATGAACAAATGCTGCGCAGCAAGCTGCCAAATCGAGGAGACTCGGCGCGCAGTTCGTTGCGCCAAAATCGACAGCCATCCCATTGAGCAGTGAATGCTTCCGGTTGCCAATTTGTCGAACAAACCTTAGAGTTGTAGCTTCTTTAGAATTTTGTAGTGTTTTTAGCGAGTATAGCGTGTAGGCGACAGCAAAAACAACATTCCATATCAGCCGCTCAATTAAGTAGCAGCAAACAAAAAACTGTTCACAATTTGTTTTTTGGACTAAACTAAGTTAACGGCCCCACTGTGCGCATTAATTGTAATTAAAACAATACTTTTTTATTTATTATTTATGATTTTGACACTAAAACTCACTGCAGCTTATTTAATTAGCCTCTAACAAGCACTTTTTAATTAATTTTTTAATTATTTTATTATCAAGGCCACATGAAAAATCAAAAATGCGAAGACAACAATTATGGCAATACAAGCAGATAGTAAAGTTTTGTTTTTAAATTGCTAACAATACCTTAATAGTTATTAGTAAAATACTAAATGAAATAACATGAAAAAGATACATATAGTGCGGGAATCCCCGTTACTTAAGTGGCAGCCATACTTAAACCATATCAGCAAACGACAATGATAATACGATTTAATTACTATAAACTAACTTACGATTTTTAATAACGAAATGTGTGTAACTTTTAAATAAACAAACGCAAGTGACAAGTATTTTACATAGATAAATATATTTTTCAATCACAAACACGAATATTTTTGCAACAATAAGAACGAAACATACAAGTATATTTCTAGGTTTTCAATCTCGTTGCTTTAATGTTCAGCAGAAACGGGTTAACTTTATTAAAAATAGTGAAATATTATGTATTAAATATCGATATGCAACTATTTTAAACATTTTAAACAAACAATATTTATGGTAGAATTTTTTAAAGCGAACCTTATTGCTAAATAAATGTAAAAATACAAATAAATGTAAAACATACACATATATGTGTTTCAATACGTGTCGTTGCTTAAATGTAATTATATATGTATATGCATTAATATCGTTATGAAGTATTAGAGTTAACTCTTCCAACTGTGCTCCAGCTACGCAAAATTCTTTTATGAAAAAGATCAAAGCATTCTGTTAAAATATAGCCCGAAATTAAAAGGCAGGTCATCAAAGTTTCTGAATTCTATTCATGCCATAGTTTTCAGTATTTATGTCAAAAATGTGCTCATAGTAATAGAATGAAAAATATTTCTTCAAATAATCAAGCGAAAGGGAAAGGTCATGTCCAAGATTGTGATCGAGTTTTATTAAAAGAATATGTCCAAGAATCTTGCTGATTCCTTCTAAGTATATTGGTCTGTTTTAGGTAAGATTGACTTACATTTAAACGGAATTGATAGGTCATGTACACGCTCTCCTGAATTGGATTCACCATTTTCGAGCATTATCTTAATATCGATTACGTCATGTTTGCACTTCCTTCAAATTAAAGAATTTTCAAACTTGGCATTTGAAGAACATATTTAAGATAAAGCCTGCACAATTCAATGCTTAGGTTATATTTCAACAGAATGCCAAATAACTTAATATGGATTTATTTCTATTTTCTAAGCTACGTACATTTATAGTTGGGCTTCTCTTGTCTGTGGCCATTCTTTAAATGTCTAGTAGTTTGGCTAGCAGTTTAGATGCATAAATTCACTATCAATTATTTAGGGCTGCTTCTGTTATTAAACGTTATATCACTATTTAAGGTTTTTCCGCATTATCACTTTTAAAATCACACGGCGCGCTCTTCAGTGCCGGGCTCGACGACGCCGAGGGGCGTCAACTTTAAGGCAATGCCATCCTGACAACTGATAAGCGGTCTCTTTGAGTTCAGCGTAAATTCGTACTCTAGGAGTAGGAGGGCCAGAGCCAGGCGTAGTTGGAGCTGAGCCAGCTGCACTCCGATGCAGCTGCGGGCGCCCACGCCGAATCCGAACCAAGTGCTCTGCTCACGAAGCGAATCTCTGGGTCCACCCCAGCGATCGGGATTGAATTGGTGGGGACTTAAGTAGAGCTCTGGATCGTTGTGTATGGCATGCGTGGGTATTATAACAAACAGTTCCTTCACCAGAATAAACTTTGGATGGTCGGGCACGACATAGTCGTTTAGGGTGCGGCGCACAATGTATGGTGTTATGGGATGCATTCGCAGCGTTTCGGATATGACTTGGCCCATGTAATTCAGGGACTGTATGAACTCATAGCTGAGGTTATTGTGATGCCGTTCTAATGACAGATTCAGCTCCTCACGCACCTTTCGCTGCACATCCGCATTGATGGCCAGCTCGTAAAGGACGTAGCACAAGGTGTTGGATGTTTGTTCGAAGCCGGCTCTCAGAAATCCGAACGCATGCGCCACCAGCTCGTGCTGCAAATGCGCTTTTAGTTCCTTGTCTGACTCGGACTCGGACTCGTGTGTGGTTAGTTCGAGCTCCTTGATGTCCAATAAAAGCTGCAGGAAATCCTTTTTGCGCACACCTGACGCTTCACGCTGCGCCTCCATATCATGGAGCAGCTGCACAAAGTAGATCTCCGCCTCTTTAGGAGTTGTGCGCATGCGCAGCCATCGGCAGAAGTTGGGAAAGCGCACCATCAGCAAATTCATAAAGTATCCATGCTTACGCGTGCTCAAGACGAGCTCGGTCATTTGCTCAAACTCCTCCAGGGAGTACTTGATCCGCTGTCCCATATCCAGGCCAAAGACGCTGCTGGCCAGCGAGGAGAGCACATAGCGGCGCGTCATTTTCTGGATGTGTAGAGTTGAGTGCGACTGCTGCATGAGTGTCGTGCTAACGGCCAAAAGCAATTGCTTGGCCTCCTCATAGATGCTCAGATACAGCCACTCCATGCGCTCGCTTTCGAAGATGGGATCCAGCTTGCGACGCATTTCCTGCCACAGACCTCCGCGCCTACCGTACAAATCGCTGGACAGTGGGTCCGTTTTCTGATTCACATACATGCCTCGATCGTTGAAATTGGCAAAGTCTTTGATCAATATCTGACGAATCAGTTCGCTTTCCAGCACTAGTGCACGCGGCTGGAGCAGCGCATAGAACCCGCAAAAGGGGCCCTGACCCTTGAACTTCGTATAGAGCGCCGAGTAGTGTGCGGCCTTCATTTGCTCCGTACTCAGCGACTGTGTGACTAGCTGTTTGGTAATGTGCCACAATTTTTTTGGTGGTTCATGCGGTATTTCGAGGTAGCGCCAATAGTCACGCTGATAACGCGCTGCCATAATCAGCAACACCAACAGACATAACACGATCAGCCCGATTATCGAAAATATTATCCACATCGAACCCATAACGGCGAATCAGCAACGAGTTGAGGCGTGTAGTCGCACAAATAATTTGTTTAAATTATACCCGCAATTATTTGTAAATAAATCAAGTACGTTTTATTGTTGTTTGTCGCCCGTTACTCATTTCCCGTTCCCGTTGCTCATTGCTCGATAGCTATGATCTAATGCCAGACAATGGGTTCGTTCTCAGCGACAACCCGTTACGTTCTTTCGCGACCAACCCTCACGACTCAACTGAGCGCACAACTGAGAAGTATTTACGATATGCGCTGAGCTTTTACGGCGCTACTTTCGAGTTGTCTGTGCTCATGAACTAGACATGAACACCGGGTGGGCGTTGAAGCGAGGCTTTCCAAAAAAAGGTCTGTGAAGTGGGGCTCAAGCATTTCTGGTTTGCAAATATTCAGGTAGCAGACAAAGTGGAGTACTACAGGAGAGATCCATCTAACTTAAATATATAACTTCAAATCTTGAGAAGTGGAATGAAAAATTTGCTCTGCATTTGTATATTTTGAAACTGCTCGCTTATAAACTATATTTTAATGAGCAAACAAATATCTATATATTTAATATGTGCTATATCTACCGATAGGCCGGGATAAAAAGGTATCGGCATCAGCTGTAGGCATAAAGGTATGTAGGTGCACAGCTTTTCATTCAAATTTAGCTTAGAAATAATATTCTTAAATTGTTTGTATACCTGGTGTTATTTTTCAAAGCATATTTGCTTGACATCTAAATTTTAAAGAGCACAGTTTTGAATGAAAAATTATCTTTATATAGAGACATAGTTATTTTTATAAAATTATATTTTTTACTAATACTCTTAAACTGTTGAATATTCAAAAGTTATGTTTAAAAGCTAGCCTTACCAAACATGGCATGAAGGATCCTTCCTTAACTTTACAATTGCTTTGCAGCCACAATTAACCACGAATTGAAACACAAATTTATTTGTTCTGTTTTGGCCAGCATTGATATTCTGTCTCGACTTGCAATTTTTAGTGATGTGTTATAGGGTGCTTGGTCTGTCTCCATAGCCTAGACCTTATACTTACTATACTGTTATCATTTTTAATTTAAATTTTTTTGTTGTGTGATAAAACAGCGTTTGCTTTTTTAAGTTCTCTCACTGGCTCTCTCTATTTGGTACGGTGCGGTAGGTAAGATCCGTATGTATGTACATTTGTATATAGTATGTACCGATATTTTGCACAGCACTGTTTTGGGTACAACTATTTTAAATTCTTACATACCTGCGGGTTTTCACGCTCAATTAGCGCGCAAATGACACATTAAAAAGCTCGCAAGCTGGAGGGAAAAAAAAAACAAAAAATATAAAACTACAAGTATGTATCTAGCGGTATACGAGTATGTACTATGTTTGTAAATAAAAGTAGGAATAACTTGTTTCTGCTTGTGACTTCATTGTATATACAATTGTAGGTTTTTCAATGAAAGCTCCAGCAAAATTAGTGTAAGAGTAGTATTCTAGTTAAGTCAACAACGCTGCCACACAATTCATTTGATCGTTGTTTATGGTAGCTCTTTGAGATGGCAACACATTTGGAGAAGGAATAAATGAAAGTAAAATGATTATCTTAATTAGTAACCTTTGGTTTGCCGGGCTATTTATGTAGCTGGAAACAGTTCAAAGATAAACCAGTTATACTAAACCGTACGCGTCTATTTCTGCTCTAATCTTGTTTGCTGACTTTGTTCCTCAAACTGCTGTGTCATGCCGAGTGAGCGACGAATGTGATTTTATTATTATTATTATCATGCTCATAATCAAATATGATTTCAGTCTTTAAAAGCAGCTGCGCACTCGAAATATCGAGTAGTGTGTAGTAGAAGTTGCAAGCATTAACATCGGAGTCTTGGCCCCAAGATGGCATTAACGTACTTACTTTTTCAAATTGTCATTTCGTTGCTGGCCATCGCGGCCTTTCATCTGTATCGGAAACTAACGTTCTTCAAGCGCCGCGGCATACCACACGATCCACCGCATCCGGTGGATGGAAACATGCAGGGCCGACGCACAACTCGAACGAACCACGAAATATTTATGGCCTACTATAATAAATATTTGGACAGCAAAGCCCCCTTTGTGGGATTCTACTTTATGCAAAAGCCTGCCGCATTTGTCATTGACTTGGAACTGGCCAAGAACATACTCATCAAGGATTTCTCAAATTTCTCGAACAAAGGTCTTTATTACAATGAAAAGGATGATCCCCTGTCAGCGCATCTCTTCAACTTGGATGGCCCACAATGGCGTGTATTGCGGCACAAGTTATCGGGCACATTTACTTCTGGAAAGATGAAATTCATGTTCCCCACCGTGGTCTCTGTAGCGGAGGAATTCATCAGAGTGATGCACGAACAGGTGGCACAGCGCTCCACTCTGGAAATACGTGATCTCGTCGCACGATTCACCGTCGATGTGATTGGAAACTGTGCCTTCGGAATTCAGTGCAATAGTTTGCGGGACCCAGAAGCCGAGTTCCTGCGTATGGGTCGAGCAGCATTTCTGGACAGGAAACACGGCAACTTTCTGATTGGCTTTATGGACAGCTTCCCCAATTTGTCTAGACATTTACATCTAACCCGTACACCCCAGTATGTTCGCGACTTCTACACCCGGATTGTCAAGGAGACTGTGGCTCTGCGGGAGGGCGAAAGCTTGAAGCGGAATGACTTCATGGATCTGCTAATTGAGCAAAAGAAAAAGGACGATGGCCTCAGTATGGATGAGATAATTGCACAGGCTTTCATTTTCTTCCTGGCTGGTTTCGAGACCAGCTCATCAACCATGGCCTTTGCACTGTATGAGCTATCGCGTCATCAGGATGTACAGGATAAGTTGCGGGCTGAGTTGAATGATGTGCTGGAGCTACACGAACAAAAGCTTACATACGAGTGTATACAGGACTTGAAGTACATGAATCAGGTCATTTCTGGTGAGTATCTGTGTTATGTAATCAATTAAAAGTGGGTACGTCATTAAAAGGACACCATAAAGATGTGTAGGTGCTTCAAAAGGCGTGACTGAACTTACATCGTAATTAGTTTTTGAATTCATATTTTCTTTTCTTTTTATATCCTTCATGGGGTAATGATTCTTGCACCATATTAAATTGTTACAATATTTAATATTTAATTTAAATATTTTATATTTTTAAAATCGGAGTTTAGTATATCGTATATGGACACTACTTTTTATACTATATATTAATAGTGATGCGGCTTTCGTTGCTTTCATTATATGGCTAAGCTAAACGACCTATAGTTTTTGACAAATATAGTATTTATAATTTGAAAAGAGTTATCAAAGGATGGTTTGGTTACCAACAAATCCAAAAAACTGCTATGGTCGATTCAATCAACGGTATTTAATTCATCAATTCCAATAGAAAGCAATTATATTTTAATTGGGCGATAATGGTAGACCTGTGTATGTATGTCCTTATGAATTTTTTAGTTGTAGTTGGAGGAGATACTGAAGACGCCATGCAGACCTATCATGCAGACTGATTTACAAGCCCAATAGCGCAATAATTTTTAATAGCTGCCGAATGCTCTCGTAAACAAATCTAATCTGAAAAATAATAATCTTTATTTTTTACGATTTACGCAAGGATCTCAGAAAGTATAAGAGCTAGAATAAACAAACTTGGTACGTAGATTCTCTTAAGCTCGAGAAAGGGCAAGTTTGTTTTTCCGATAAACCCCTACTCCCTACTCTAACTCACCCAATTCTTGGAATTTCTAATTCTAATTTGGTAGTCACATCCAGTTAGTGATTGTGTGTCCGTATGCCAAGTTTCATCATGATCGGTATCGTATGAAGAAAGTTATAGCCATAAATATATTCTCTGCCCAAGCTCTGCTCGCAGCTGTATTTGTTGCTATATTTAATTTAATTAATTAATTTTTTTTGGGCTGGTACCAGGTATTTAAGAGTTGAGCCTGCTCGACTTTGTAATACATACGTTACTCTTATTAAATAACAATTGCTTACGAACAATTTAATATTAATTGAACTTTAAATTTATAGCCCTTAATAATCGCATCTGTAATTTTGATAATTCCAGAAACACTTCGTCTCTACACTATTGTGCCAAATTTGGACCGTAAGGCACTAAAGCGTTATGTGGTGCCCGGACATCCGAAGTTTGTCATTGAGGAGGGACAGTCTGTCATCATACCGGCTGCCGCCATACATCGTAATCCCCATATCTATCCTAAGCCTGACGAATTTCTGCCTGAACGTTTTGCACCCGAAGAGGTGGCCAAACGGGAATCGGTTGCCTGGCTGCCATTTGGCGATGGTCCTCGGAATTGCATTGGACTGAGATTTGGGAAGATGCAAGCACGAATCGGACTGGCATTACTCATTAAGAATTTTAAGTTTTCTGTGTGCCCAGAAACGCAGATGCAATTCGATCCAAAGAGCTTCGTGTTGGGCACAAAGGGTGGTCTATTTTTAAAAGTGGACGCAATTTGAAAATAAATAAGTACTATTAAGCCATTACCGATGTTTATAAGTCTAATTAAGTATTATTACAAGAAAGTCTGTCAATAAAACCAAAGTTGTTGTGAATTCATAGTGGATTCATTGGCCATTCTGATTACTCATCTGTCTCAGATGAGTAGGATTCTTGTAGGATTCTTAAATTGCAATTCGAAAATTCTTCTGTAACTATTTTCACACCAAACAACAGCGAATGGAGTTTTATATTCGCGACAAACATATTTCATTCAACAGGATTGCCAGTTGATAGCTTTGATTTTTTCTTCTTCATTTGTACTAGAACAATTAGCAAATCATTACCGATTTAAACTTGAGTTCCCGCTGATATATGTACAAATAATCCATTGTGCCAAATTTCGAGGAGTCTCATGATTGTTTAAACGCGTCACAATCTGTTATACTTGTAAGAAATATACATACTATATATACTTTAAATGAAAGTCAAAAACGTTATTGGAGCTTAAAAAGAATTGTTTCGTTGGAGAAAAGATCTGTCTTATCGATTTGTTTGATGGTAGCTCCTCAAGATAGTCAATAAAGTTATAAGAGGTAATGCGAAGGGCTTGTCCTAGACAATTACTGATAATAAATACGGAGAACAAATAAACGCAAGATAAATGATTATCTTATTAGGGAACCCTTGGCTACAAGTTATTACACTAAAAAGAAATTACACTTTACATTTTAATCATTTTACGTAGGTTTATATATTTTTACTATCAATTAGTGTGTTTTGGTCAATACTTTAACAGATGTGCACACTTCAATTTCGATTATAGAATGTAGTTAATTCAAAGTGTAACGCAATTTAATGTGATGATGTGGTTTCTTTTCTTTTTTAATTAGAAGATAATTCACCCACTCTTCTATATATATATATATACTATATATATTTTAATTAATCTTTTTATCAACCTTTTTATACTAAGTGTTATCATTATTGATTTGAAGGAATAATGAATCGCATACACTAACTTGAAACATACTTGACCGACATATAGGTTTTTCAACATTCGAATTAAATACTAAAAATATTAAAACACATGTACTGCATATTTAAATCAAAACACGTCCCAAAAATCTAATTTAATTTAATTTTATGGTTAAAAATTAAATTTAATATTTCACACGTTAATGATGAAAATGTGCACTTTGTTCATATTTAAGTGAACATGTTGTTCGAACTAAATTCAGATTATTAGAAATATTAGTTGATTATGAAAATATTCATTTATCCCATGGAATTTTTTGTGAGTGTAAGAGCTCAAAGGTAAACAAGTTAGCATTTAACCGTAGCCGTCTGTTGTTACTCTAATCTTGTTTTCTGGCTTTGTTCATACAGACAGCAAACTGCTGTCTCATGCGCGACTGATATTTTCATTCTGACTAGCATTTAAAAATCGTTAAAAGTAGCTCAGCCCTCGTAATGTCTAGCAGTGTGTAGTAGGAGTTCCGAACATCAACATCGGAGTCTTGGCCCCAAGATGGCATTAACGTACTTACTTTTTCAAATTGTCATTAAGGTTGCTGGCCATCGCGGCCTTTCATCTGTATCGGAAACTAACGTTCTTTAAGCGCCGCCGCATACCACACGATCCACCGCATCCGGTGGATGGAAACATGCAGGGCCTGGAAATACGTGATGTCGTCGCACGATTCACCATCGATGTGATTGGAAACTGTGCCTTCGGAATTCAGTGCAATAGTTTGCGGGACCCAGAAGCCGAGTTCTGGCGAATGGGTCGATCAGCATTCGTGGACAGGAAGCACGGCAACTTTCTGATTGGCTTTATGGACAGCTTCCTCACTTTGTCTACACATTTACATTTACGTTCTGTACCCGGATTGTCACGGAGACTGTGGCGCTGCGAGAGGGTGAAAGCTTGAAGCGGAATGACTCCATGGATCTGCTAATTGAGCGAAAGAAAAAGGACGATGGCCTCAGTATGGATGAGATAATTGCACAGGCTTTAATTTTCTTCCTGGCTGGTTTCGAGACCAGCTCATCAACCATGGCCTTTGCATTGTATGAGCTATCGCGCCAACAGGATGTACAGGATAAGTTGGCGGAGCGATACGAACAAAAGCTTACATAAGAATGTATATAAGAGTGGAAGAACATTATTCAGGTCATTTCTGGTGAGTATCTATGCTATGTAATCAACTATAAGTGGGTACGTCGTTATGGTCAAATGTGGCCTTGTGTATACAAAAAAGTCATTGCAGTCCAACTGCTTATTTCTTCATTCTTTCTTTGATTTCTTCCTCTGTTCCAACGTGGTAGAGCTGTAAATAGTCCGTGTAATGGTCTGTGGCATGGCCTAATAAATATTCCGATTTTTTAACCCTATTGGTTAAATTAAACATAATACAAGTATGTATGAATATGAATTACAAGTTGCATTAATAAAAATTACTGACTTACTACATTCATGTGTACAACTATATATTCTTGTGACATCAATTTTCTGTGCACTTTTTATATGCGACAAAGCAAGCTATGCAAAACAAAGCTAGTCTTTCATTATATTTGCAGATATTACATACATATATAATTGGAGAACCGTTTGTTAATAATCTCCGAAATGGCCTAAGAGAGCTTCCGCTCATGATACTGACCTACAACAAGGAATAGAGAAGAAAGAAATAGTCAATTCATGTCTGAGATTTTGACTTTGTGGTACCAGTGGACGAAGCATATCATATAGAAATTTAACAATTGATAAATGGACTATTTAGTGATAAGCGTGTCCACGCTTAGAGATTTCACGACACACTATCTGTTGATAAAGCTGGTAGTCGCTAGTCATTGTGACCGCGAAAGCTTTTTCCAGATATATAATACCATGATTCGATGAGGGTTGTGCTCAGTAGCGTTCAAAGCTTCTTAGGCTGTGTGTACGAGTTCCATCAGAAATGGGTGTTGGGGGTTTGCTTCTCACAGCGCTGGTGGCCCTACTTGGGTATCTGTTCCTAAGACTACGACGCAATGCGCAATATTGGCAAAACTTGGGTATAGCTTGTGAAGAGCCACACCTACTAATGGGCAGCTTGACTGGCGTGCGTTCCAAGCGCTCATTCATGGAAATTTGGACGCACTACTACAATAAGTTCAGGGGCACCGGACCATTTGCTGGCTTCTATTGGTTTCAACGTCCGGCTGCCTTCATCTTGGAGCCTTTTCTAGCCAAGCATATACTCGTCAAAGACTTCAATAAGTTCACGGATCGTGGATTTTTCCACAATGAGGAAGATGATCCGTTGACGGGACAGCTCTTCTTGTTGGATGGCCACAAGTGGAAGTCCATGCGCAACAAGTTGTCTTCTACCTTCACCTCGGGAAAAATGAAATACATGTTCCCAACGGTTGTGAAGGTTGGTTACGAGTTTGTAGAAGTGTTCGGTGATATGGTGAGAAAGCAATCAGAAATTGAGGTGAAGGAGCTGTTGGCACGTTACACCACCGATGTAATAGGAACTTGTGCCTTTGGAATTGAGTGCAGCAGTCTGAAGGATCCCGAGGCCGAGTTTCGACTGATGGGTCGTCGTGTGTTTACGGACGTGCGACACGGTGTCCTAGGCCTTACATTTTTAAGTAGTTTCCCAAAGCTGGCACGTCGCCTGCACATGAAAAATACACCGCAACATATTGAAGATTTCTTCCTGCGAATAGTCCGCGAAACTGTGACCTTTAGAGAGCAAAATAACATAAAACGCAACGATTTTATGGATCAGCTAATTGAATTGAAAAACAATCGTATGCTCAAGTCTGAGACGGGGGAAAGCATGAACCTGACACTGGAGGAGGTAGCCGCACAAGCTTTTGTGTTTTTCGCGGCGGGCTTTGAAACCTCATCGACCGCAATGGGATTTGCTTTATACGAATTGGCCCAGAATGCCAACATTCAGCAAAGGGCACGGGACGAAATAAACGAAGTACTGGAAAAACATAATGACGAGTTGAACTACGAGTGTATGAAAGAGCTCACATACTTGGATCAGATCATATCAGGTAGGTTTTTAACAAACTATGTATATGTAATCGTAATTAATGAACGCTTCTCTTCAGAGACCCTCCGCTTATACACTGTTCTGCCAGTGCTAAATCGGGAGTGTCTGGAGGACTACGTGGTGCCTGGCTATCCAAAGTATGTCATCAAGGCCGGCATGCCAGTTTTAATTCCTGCTGGGGCCATGCATCGTGACGAGAAGCTGTATCCCGATCCAGACACGTTCAATCCGGATAATTTTGATCCGGACCGAGTCAAAGAGCGAGACTCAGTGGAGTGGTTGCCATTTGGAGACGGCCCACGTAATTGCATTGGAATGCGTTTTGGCCAAATGCAGGCACGCATTGGACTTGCCCTACTCCTCAAAAATTTCAGATTTTCAGTTTGCGAACGTACACCCATTCCTATGACATATAACTTAGAGAGCTTTCTGGTCGCTAGCGAAAAGGGCATCTATTTGCGGGTAGAGCAGATCTAATACGAAGTATGATGAAGCATTCAGGCATATATTTTTTGACCTTACATTACCCAAATGTTGGTTTTTTTCCGCTTGGGTGGCTACCTAATTAGAAAAGTATGCGTGTTCTAGGTTCCACCATTTTCTGCTAGAAGTCTATTTATACATAATTAGTACGATTGATGATTTATGAATCGCAGAATACTCGATGTTGCAAATACTCGTGTGGATTATATTGTCTAAAAAATGAAATAAAATTATCTCTAAAATATAGTGTGTCCAATTTAGGTTCCCATTTAAAATTATCAATTCAATAAAACAGCTTACTATTTTGGCATAAATTTTTAAATGTTCTGCCTCAAAAACAAAGGAATAACAAAACATGAGAATAGCAAAACAAACTTGACCTGGCTAGGGCTTAGGGGAGCCGGGATACCAGGTTTGGTAATTCTAGCTGTTATACCTTCTGAGATCCTGGCGCTCATATACATACGCAATACGTGTTTCCCACGCAATAAGCGCGCTTTAATTATTTATACTCTGTATATGAAATGTAAGAGAGTATATTAGTTTTGCGGGAGGTGAAAAAATGTGTGTGTAAAGTGTGAGGCATAAGCAGGGAGCAAAAAACCCAATGGGTAAAACAGAAATTTAGAACAAGCTGAAGCCATGGTTCCAAATACTTACATCACACTCATATGTGTGCATGCATATACCTACTGGGCTGCCTAATACTAAGAAACGTTCAGCTGTTACCTACAAACATGGCTCAGTGCTACTTTTCTCACATGGATATTGCTCAGTTCACAATGAGCTACACCTGCTTCGAACCTAATAATAATAACATAAATATTTGCAGATACTAAGCATTAAAAATATTTAATAGTTATTACGGCAATTTAATGGTTTATTTGCTCACAGAGAAACAAATTAGATGACACGTCAGTTCATGTTACGTAACGTTTAATCGGTAAGGAGTTTTCTTTTGAACCGTCTTTTAAAATATTGGTTAATGCGATTCTTAACCGATTCTTAAGATTCCTTAAATAACCTAACTGATCGAATGACAACAAATTCTGTTCGAACACGAAAGTGTGTTCTTTATAAGCTAGCTGGGCACCGTCGATATTATTTGTCTGGTGGTGCTCAAATTCTCATACTTGTCTATCACATCCACCATGATCCTGCGTACTATCCAGAGCCATCGGCCATAACGCTTTACCCTGGAGATGGCCCAGCTAAGACCAGATGGCGCCTACATGCCCTTTGGCTTCGGACCGAATTAGAAAAGCCTTGTAAACTTTTAAACCGAGCTAGATCATGGGGTCCAATTCGAGCTTGACTTGTCATGGCTCAATAGATCAAGATCATTGGAGCGCTTTTCTATAAGCTACACTTGTAATTATACTTGGCCCAGACCTGATTTTTAGAGGGTGACGTAATAAATGATATGAAAACACATGTTATACATACAGAATATAAACAATTAAAACGCACTTATCGCGTGGGTAACAAGTACATCCAACAAGCGAGAAAGCGGCAAGCTTTTTGCGATAAAAGCTTTCGCTCAAATGTTTTCGATTTTGAGAGAGAAACCTTTAAAATTTGCACTTCAAAGAGAATTGTTTGGGCAGAATAAGAGCTGGCTTTTTGGATTGATAATTTAAACTGCGAAACTAAAATGGACATAGATCTTTTCTTGTAGCTGATTTTCAGCGCGACTTTATTTTTCCCTTTTAAATTTGAATATCTTAGTAATAGCGCTGCTAAGCTAAAATGGTAAAATGAAATTTTAACACTTTCCGCATTTAAGATGCAATTTGTTATTATTTACCTCAAGTAGAGATAAAAATGACATCATTACATATTTGTCCGCAATATATACATTTGTCCACAATAAATTTTCTACTTTATGTGGCTTTACATTCAATTTTTTTTTATGCCTGAATGCTTCGTATTAGATCTGCTCTACTCGCAAATAGATTCCTTTTTCGCTAGCGATCAGAAAGCTCTCTAAGTTATATGTCATAGGAATGGGTGTACGTTCGCAAACTGAAAATCTGAAATTTTTGAGGAGTAGGGCAAGTCCAATGCGTGCCTGCATTTGGCCAAAACGCATTCCAATGCAATTACGTGGGCCGTCTCCAAATGGCAACCACTCCACTGAGTCTCGCTCTTTGACTCGGTCCGGATCAAAGTTATCCGGATTGAACGTGTCTGGATCGGGATACAGCTTCTCGTCACGATGCATCGCCCCAGCAGGAATTAAAACTGGCATGCCGGCCTTGATGACATACTTTGGATAGCCAGGCACCACATAGTCCTCCAGACACTCCCGATTTAGCACTGGCAGAACAGTGTATAAGCGGAGGGTCTCTGAAGAGAAGCGTTCATTAATCACGATTACATATACATAGTTTGTTAAAAACCTACCTGATATGATCTGATCCAAGTATGTGAGCTCTTTCATACACTCGTAGTTCAACTCGTCATTATGTTTTTCCAGTACTTCGTTTATTTCGTCGCGTGCCCTTTGCTGAATGTTGGCATTCTGGGCCAGTTCGTATAAAGCAAATCCCATTGCGGTCGATGAGGTTTCAAAGCCCGCCGCGAAAAACACAAAAGCTTGTGCGGCTACCTCCTCCAGTGTCAGGTTCATGCTTTCCCCCGTCTCAGACTTGAGCATACGATTGTTTTTCAATTCAATTAGCTGATCCATAAAGTCGTTTCGTTTTATGTTATTTTGCTCTCTAAAGGTCACAGTTTCGCGGACTATTCGCAGGAAGAAATCTTCAATATGTTGCGGTGTACTTTTCATGTGCAGGCGACGTGCCAGCTTCGGGAAACTATTAATAAATGTAAGGCCTAGGACACCGTGTCGCACGTCCGTAAACACACGACGACCCATCAGTCGAAACTCGGCCTCGGGATCCTTCAGACTGCTGCACTCAATTCCAAAGGCACAAGTTCCTATTACATCGGTGGTGTAACGTGCCAACAGCTCCTTCACCTCAATTTCTGATTGCTTTCTTACCATATCACCGAACACTTCTACAAACTCGTAACCAACCTTCACAACCGTTGGGAACATGTATTTCATTTTTCCCGAGGTGAAGGTAGAAGACAACTTGTTGCGCATGGACTTCCACTTGTGGCCATCCAACAAGAAGAGCTGCCCCGTCAATGGATCATCTTCCTCATTGTGGAAAAATCCACGATCCGTGAACTTATTGAAGTCTTTGACGAGTATATGCTTGGCTAGAAAAGGCTCCAAGATGAAGGCAGCCGGACGTTGAAACCAATAGAAGCCGGCAAATGGTCCGGTGCCCCTGAACTTATTGTAGTAGTGCGTCCAAATTTCCATGAATGAGCGCTTGGAACGCACGCCAGCCAAGCTGCCCATTAGTAGGTGTGGCTCTTCACAAGCTATACCCAAGTTTTGCCAATATTGCGCATTGCGTCGTAGTCTTAGGAACAGATACCCAAGTAGGGCCACCAGCGCTGTGAGAAGCAAACCCCCAACGCCCATTTTTGATAGAACTCGTACACACAGCCTAAGAAGCTTTGAACGCTACTGAGCACAACCCTCATCGAATTATGGTATTATACTTATATCTGGAAAAAGCTTTCGCGGTCACAATTACTAGCGACTACCAGCTTTATCAACAGATAGTGTGTCGTGAAATCTCTAAGCGTGGACACGCTTATCACTAAATAGTCCATTTATCAATTGTTAAATTTCTATATGATATGCTTCGTCCACTGGTACCACAAAGTCAAAATCTCAGACATGAACTGACTATTTCTTTCTTCTCTATTCCTTGTTGTAGGTCAGTATTTCCACAATTTATAAGCAGAACTTTAGCACATTTCTGAGAAATTATATAAAAACAGTATTAAAAGACGAGCTTTGCTTACACACATACCCATACACTACGCATACGTATAAGCACTAAAATATAGTGTCTCTAGTTCTTATAGTCTCCGAGATATATGTGATTATACGAACGGCGTTACGGACCGTCCCCATTATCGTGGGAGTGGGCAGGTAAATTATAAAAATAAAACAAATTTGGCACCTTTGTGCAAGAGTTGATGTCTCTAGCTCGTTAGTCTCTGAGATCCAGGCGCTCATACGGACAGACAGACCGACTCGTCTTGGTTTGATCGTCCCAACAAGAAAGTGTTTCTTGTCTTAAATCGAAAGTACGAGATAGATTGAATATAAAAATGTAATTAAGGTATGCTGATCAGTCAACATTATATATATTTACAGGCATTGTGCCTTTGACCATCGAAACGTTTCGCTTGAAATCATTATAATTATTGGCTATATTTTATATTATATGGCGTCAAACCTTAAGTATTATAAGTATTAGAAAAAGGGATTTTTTAGTTTGTATGTATATTAAATTCCATTTACAAAACATACAAATTAGTGATTAGTTGATTAAACAACAAATTTATATGTTATACTTGTATATACTTGTATAACAAACAAGCATCGACCATAACCAAGAAATATGTCATTTCATCTGCAATATGTTTACTAAGCAAAGTAATTATTAGTCATAAGTATAAGTTTACGTATTTCATAACAACACATGTCCATTAATCAGTTACTTGATGTTTATGTTGTTATCTTTTCAACTTTAAGGTGTATGCCATTCTCAGCTGATAGTAATATATTTTTATTGACCAACTTTAGTGGGATTTGGGTCTCTGGGGTCGTGCTGAATTTGTAGTTTTTGAGCAAACTGGCGAGTCCAATGCAGGTCTGCATCAGTCCAAAACGCGAGCCTATGCAGTTTCGAGGGCCGTCCCCGAAAGGTAACCAAGTACAGGGGGGCCGGGAAGCTATGTTTTCCTCTGTAAATCGCTCGGGCTGAAATTTCTCTGGGTCAGGGTAAATGTCTGGATCGTAATGAACGCCTAAAGCTGATATAACCACCACGGTTCCCTTCTGAATGTAATGCTTGGGATCGTCCAGTAAATAGTCGGCGTTTGAAACACGCGAGAGGTGACCCAATACTGGATATTTACGCAGCGTCTCTGTAGGGAGTAGAAATAAGTAATGGGCCAAGTGAATGTAAATGTAATACGCACCCATGACAACTTGCTCCAAATACTGCATCTGCTTCATGGCCTCATAGGAAAAGTCGCTATTATTCTTAGCCAATACTTGTGCGACTTCCTCTCTAACTTTGTTCTGTATTTCCTGGTGCTGGGCGAGTTCGTACAAAGCAAATCCCATGGTTGTGGATGAGGTCTCGAAGCCAGCGACGAAGAAAATGAAAGCTTGTGCAGCCAATTCTTCAAAGCTAAGGCCCTCCTCCTCATTTCCATTCTGATGTTTCTGATACATTTCGATTAACATGTCCATGAAATCGTGTCTCTTCACTTGATTCTTTAAGCGATAATCAATGGTGTCCTTTACAATTCCGAGATAAAAGTCCTCAACCTCTTGCACATTGAGCTTAAGATGACATCGGCGCGCCAATTTCGGAAAACCAAACATAAAGAAGTCCAAAAGACCGTAATACCGACGATCCAGAATTGCACGTTTTCCCATAGTGACGAAATCAGCCTTTGGATTATGGAGACTGTTGCAATCCAGACCGAAGGCACAGGTGCCAATAACGTCGGCTGTGTAACGGCCAACGACATCGGTTACCTCTAGTACCCGGCTATCGCCATCAACTTTCTCAGCAAAAATTTTCACCATTTCTTCCCCCACGCCCAAGACAATGGGAAACATGTTCTTCATTTTCCCGGAGGTGAAGGTGGGCGTCAGTTTGTGTCTCAGATGGCGCCATTTGTGTCCCTCTATGCTGAACAGGGTGGCCGAAAGCGGATCGTCGATTTCGTTGTAGAATATACCGCGATTTTCAAAGTTGTTAAAGTCTTTTATCAGCACTTTTTTGATAAGATCGATGTCGGTGACCACTATAGTTTTCGTAAAGAAGAAATAAAAGCCAGCAAATGGACTACCGCTGTCCTTGAACTTCAAATAGTATTTTTTAAATATCGTGGAAAATTGTTCGCGTTTCGGCCAGTCGGAGAAATTCCCTCTTGGAAAACTCGGCTTCTCGTGTGGAATGCCGCGACGCAGCCAATAGCAATGGCGCTGGCGTACCGCGTATGAGATCAGCGTCACGACGAATGTGACAAGAATGACTAACCACACCATTTCGCGTTCCGGTTCCTACTGAAAAGAGGGCTTCACGGGAGACAGCATTTAAGCAAAAGCTCGCTCAGAAACGCTACCAGTTTTGTCTGATTCAATACACAAAGCTTTTATGTAATTGTTTCGGCATTGCTGTGGCTTGCTCATCTGTTTAATTACAAGTACATGTTACATGATCTTACATATATCGGGTAATCTGTTTTCAGACTATTGGGAAGAGAGTATACTGTTGAACGTTCTCTTAAAGAACGACTACAAATGTGTTTATACGATAAAAAGTTTTAATATTTCTGTTCTTGCAGCTTTAACGCTTTCGTTATATCTTATCGATATTTAATCAGCTCCTAACACTAATTTAGCTCACATTTTCTTGCAATTTCATGAAATATTCACGTAACTGAGTTATGTTTTTAGGAAATTGATCCCGCAATGTGAAAACTTGTTAGTAACACAGTTTTGAACACTCGATGTGAAGAATGGTAGTCCAATAAGAAATATAATACAACGTATATGAAAGGTTTTAAAGTCCAGTAAATGTTATAAACATACGTAACGCATTTACTCTGAAATACGTGAACAATTGACAATTTCCGAAAACAGCGCCATCGTCATAATATACCTACATAGCTAATTGCAATGCTCGTATTTTGGAATATCCATAGTCCAATTGTTTGCAAAATATTAACAAGAGAGAATGCTACAGTCGAGGAAACCCTGTACCCAGACAATCTTATATGAACAGAAACGAAAAGCAGAAGAAGAAGAGCGAACCCCTCCTGCAATTTGTGGGCGAAGTACTGGAGCGAAATTGTATCCCTAATACCTCCTTTTAGAACTGATCGATTTGGACGAAATTTGAAACATATAGAAACAAGAAGATAATTATGCTTGTATATTTATTACGTAGACAAAGTTTGGGTTATGTAGCATTTTCGAATTATGGGCAGTATTGAAGTAGTGGCGGGAGGGAGGAAAAAAAATAAGAGGAGTCTACTCATCATGTTGGGTTAATGTACGTATCAGCCATATCGTAAACAGGACATGCTTTGATCGATTTAAGATACTGTTTCTACATTTAAAACTATTCCGTTTTCCGGCGATAGCAAAAAGCTCTTTTTCACAAATGTAGGAGGAACTTTAGTTCCAGGTGCCAACGTAAACCTGTAGTCTTTGACAAGGTACGCCAGTCCGATGCATGTTTGCATCATTCCAAATCGGGAGCCTATGCAGCTTCTGGGGCCATCTCCGAATGGCAACCATGTGCAGGCTGGACGAGAGGCGATACTTTGCTCTGTAAATCTTTCCGGGTCAAATTTTTCTGGTTCAGGATAGATATCTGGATCATGGTGTAAGCCAAGAACAGAAATACAGATTCCTGTGCCCTTTTCTATAATGTGCTTGGAATCACCGACATCGTAATCAGCCTTGGCCTTTCTGGTTAGGTGGCCCAAAACGGGATATTTGCGAAGTGTCTCTATGGAATACAGATCGTAGTGAAAAGTTTGTATTTATCTGATGATAAGCATTTACTTGTACGTACCCATAACAACTCGCTCCAAATACTGCATTTGCTTCATGGCTTCATAGTTGAGATCCTCATTATGTTTAGCCATAATTAGGTTGACCTCATCTCTAAGTTTATCCTGAATATCCTGATGCTGTGCCAGCTCATAGAGGGCATAACCCATTGTTGTGGAGCTTGTCTCAAAGCCAGCCAAAAAGAAAATGAAAGCCTGCGCCGCCAACTCGTTGAAGCTCAAGCCATCCTCTTCATTGCCGTCCTGATATTTCTTATACATTTCAATCATAATGCCCATGAAATCGTTCCGTTTCACGTCATTCTTCACGCGGTGATTGATGGTATCCCGAATGATGCGGAAATAGAAGTCCTCTACGTCCGGCATTGTTACTTTAAGACGTAGTCGACGCGCCAGCTGGGGCAGTCCAAAAATGAAAAAGTCGAAGAGGCCCCAGAACCTACGTTCCGTAAGTGCGCGTTTTCCAATTTGCACGAACTCAGCCGAGGGATCCTGAAGGCTGTTGCACTCCAAGCCGAAGGCACAACTGCCAATTACGTCGGCCGTGAAACGGCTGACTAGATCCGTGACTTCCAGCTCTTGGCTGGAAGAGGTTCCCATTTTCTCCCTTAATATGTTGGCCAATTCTTCACCGACCTTCGCAACGGTGGGAAACATAAATTTCATTTTTCCCGAAGTAAATGTAGGCGATAATTTGTGCCTCAAGTGCCTCCATTTCTGACCTTCTAAGCTGAACAGCGTGGCAGAAAGGGGATCATCTACTTCATTGGAGAAGATTCCGCGATTTTCGAACGTATTGAAATCTTTGATAAGAACCTTTTTAATTAGTTCTAGATCCGTTATCACGGCCGATTTTTTGAAAAATACAAAGAATCCAGCAAAGTAACTCGAATCGTTCTTGAACTTCAGATAATAATCCTTGAATATCACTGAAAACTGTCTCTTCTTCGGCCAGTCCCCAAAGTTTCCATGTGGGAAACTAGGTGCTTCGTGCGGAATACCCCGACGCTGCCAATAGTTGAAGTGGTGGTTTACCACATATATCAGAAGACCGATAACTACCGCGACTAGGGAAATAAACAGATACATTGCGCGAGCTTTTCTTGACTAAAAACTTATGCTAGAGGTTGGCCTATTTATATGACAACAAGCCAAAAGCTTTAGGCGTAATCTGTTATTACCAGCAAGGCAGTAAACGTTTAATAAGTTGCGAGGAATAAACAATTCCTAATGTTAATTGAATGGTAAAGAAAGGATCCCGATAAGGGGATCCTAATAAGTATTTGACTTGGAAAACCATTAATTGCGATTACTTAGAATAGCTTTATGAGAAGTGCTTTGTCATGATTCGCTCAGCACATTCTCCATACATTAGTAACCATAGTTGTCTCTTATACTTGTAATACTATGCAACGAAAAGCAAGATTTAAACTTGATATTTTGTCCGGTCAGACCACTATATTAAATACATATATATACAAAATTTTCAAATAATACAAGCACTAACAATTGAAAGTATTGGAAAATTAAGATTTCAGAATGATTTCATTTCGAGAGTCAACAATTACACAACAAATAGACTATAGAAGAATACTCATATCGATTAGATAAAAACATTGCTACTGTTTCATTAATTTTTTATGAATTGGGAACATATGGTAAATTGATGTTGATCGATCTATAAGACGATTGAAACGGAATGAATGTTACAGATGTACGTGCAATTTATTTTTACAATGCTTCGATTTTTAGATATATACCGTTAGCCGGACACAATAGAATGTTTGATTTGACAAATTGAATCGTGGTCTCGGTGCGGGGGCAGGTGCTGAACCGAAAACGCCTCAACAGATGGAACAAAGCTGAACAGGTTTGCATTTTTCCAAATCGCATCCCCAGGCAGTTTCGAGGTCCATCGCCAAAAGGCAGCCAAGAAGCGGTGGGACGCTGTGCCAGTTGATCGGCCAGAAAACGTTCGGGAATAAATTTATCCGGATCCGGGTAGAACATGGGATCGTGATGTATAGCATATACAGGTATAATCACCATTTGTCCAGGCTCTATATAATAGTGACGATCGTTGTTAGCGGCATAATATTGACGTGAGATGCGCGATAGATGGGGCAGGATTGGATATTTACGCAGTGTTTCTTTAAGGAAAAAAAGTAAAGACGATATTGCTAAATACAGAAATGATAAAGATAGGTTGTACTAGGTACCTACCCGCTATGACCAGCTCCATGTACTGCAGATCTTGCATGGAGTCGTATGTGAACTGTCCATTGTGTCTTTCCAATGCTTGAGCAATCTCCTGGCGCAGTTTATCCTGCAAACGTGGTTGCTTCGCCAGCTCGTATAGCGCAAAGCTCAAAGTATTGGCCGATGTATCAAAGCCGGCCACAAAGAATATAAAAGCCTGAGCTGCCAGCTCCTCTATCGTCAGTTCGCCGCGTTGCTTCATTTCGATTAGAAGATTCATAAAGTCTTGGCGCACAATGCCACGAGCCTCGCGTTCCTTGACCGTATCCTTGACGATGCGCATGTAGAAATCCGTAATATCCTGATGTATTTGACGCATGCGCAGCCGTCGCGCCAAGTTCGGAAACGTTTCAATAAAGCCGTCGACGAGTTTGTTGTGACGACGATCGGTAAAGGCGCGACGACCCATCGCAGCAAACTCAGCCTGAGGATTTCGAAGTCCATTGCATTCAAGACCAAAGGCGCAGCTGCCTATGACGTCGGATGTGTAGCGAGCTACGAGATCGCTAATCTCCAGTATGCCATTATTAGCATTAAGTGCCTGCTCTGCACAAGCCCTTGTCAATTCCTCACCCACGGCGCATACCGTATCGAACATGTATTTCATTTTTCCGGATGTGAAGGTGGGCGACATTTTGTGGCGCAAGGGTCTCCACTTGGGCCCGTCAATACGAAAGAGATGGCCGGTCAACGGATCGTCGCGCTCATTGTGATACATGCCGCGATCCTCAAAGTTCGCAAAATCCTTGATGAGAATATTTTTTGCCAGCTCTACATCGAGCACAAGCACCACGGGACGCAGCATCATATAAAGGCCGGCAAATGGTGCCCCTGTGCCCTTAAAACATTCATACAGGGGAGTCAAAATTTCTAAAAAGTGTTTGCTTTGGCGCAAGCCTTCCATATTGCCAACTGGAAACTGGGGCTCCACATGAGCAATGCCCCTGCTCGCCCAATAGTTGAGCGAGGTGCGCACATACCAGAAGCCAATGGAGAGCCCTATCAGTGCCAGAGCTATTATGTCTAGCATGTTGATAAAAGCAATTCGCCCTCCGCAGGCACACTCTACGATGTTCAGTCCGACGCGTCTCACTTACAACTGCTGATCTGTATTCGGCAGAGAAGAGGCGTGGACGGCAGTGTTCGAAAACAGCAGATAGCGTCCGAACTCTCATTTACTTGTATTCTCTCAATTGATTGTCATAATTTTGCAACATTTGCATAGCCTTTCTGCTAGCTGTAAACTACAGTGAATATATATTATGACGCTTCCCATTTCAAAAATTTGAGAGAGAGAATATCTAGTCATGGGCGTAGCCACGATCTCACTTAGCGTGACAAGTTTTACTTTGAAACCACTAAGTAAACACTAATACTCTCTTTACATACATTATCTGCAAAAATGAGAAAAAAATGTTTTTCTCTCAGTGTGTGTATGGGGTGGTGTGGGCTTATATTGTCCCTGATCTCTAGATCGAAACAGTATTTTGGTTTTAAAAAACATGTCCCACTAGAATCAAAATAAATCTCTCATGTGCTTAGCCACTAAGGAAACTTGTCTTGAGCTGCAAAAATATAACAGATATAATATTTGAGTGTTTAGAATTTTAAAATTTTTAATTTTATAGTTAAAAATAATTTAAGAATTAAGGAAATTTTATGTTCTATTTTTTTTATTATTATATTTTCTTTCAATAGGTGAGGAGAAATTTTGTTAGCACTATTTTCCGATTACAAGTATGTATGTATGTGTCATACAAATACATATAAATTGTACAAGTATATTACAATTAAAAGCAGCTGTTTTTGTGAAATTGACAAATCCAAATTGTAGCTCTGACATCTGAAGAACTTAATTTCATGAACAACATGTTCATGCAGCGCAGAGAAGAAAAATTCAGCTGACATCAACATCCAGAATAAATCCCAATCCGTTTTAAGCGTTTTTAATCGCCACCTTGAAAGCGCAGCGTCGTGATATGAGCGAGCCGCTTGGACTTGATATAACGGCATTGTTTAAAGTCAATTGCAAAAGGGAAACTGCGAAAACAGAGACAGCTGACTGTTTGGTTTCTTGCATACAAAGCTCTAAAAATATAACCAGAATAAGTCAGAATTGCTGTAGTTTTTACTGTAATAATAACCTGCACTGCTTCGCAATGTAGAACATAATTTAAGTGGTGGAAGTAGATTGTAAAACAAGTAGAGAAGCTGAAGTCGAGTATCCCGACTTCGAAATACTCTGTACATATGTTTAGAATAAGAAAAAAAAAAAAAAATTTTGTTCGATTTTCGCTGTCTCGGTATTCGATCTTACAACATTTACATATTTACAAGCAAATTGCATCTATGTGAGGATATGCATGTCTATGTGTGTCTATTCATGTCTGTGTGAACATGTTTGCAGTCAACCAAAGCACCAACATCAACAATAGCTGCGGGCAGCACTTGGGCAGAAATTATATTTATGGAAGGGAAAGGGAGAGGGGAAAGGGAGGGAAATTCCAACATATCCATGTTCTGAGTATTTACAAAAGGCATCTTGGAATACAATTTAGTGCTCTTAGGTCTAATAGTCTCCAAGATATAGGTGATTATAAGAACGGCGCCTCTGAAAATCCCCCATAGGGGGGAAGTGGGAATGAAAACCAAAAAAATAAAACAAACTTGCACAGCGTACACACATAAGGCATCTTTGCGCAATTTTGTGTTTCTAGCTCTTATAGTCTCTGAGATCCAGATGTTCAAACGGACAGATGGACAGACATAGGTCGACTCGCCTTGTCATGCTCAGGAATATATATACTTTGTGGGGTCTGCCTGTTACATTTTTCACCTCCCGCAAACCTAATATACTCTTGTAGATTTCTTGTACAGAGTATAAAAATACATACTTATGTATGTATGTACATAGATAAGAATAAAATAAATGCCAGTGATAACATACTATACATATGTATGTACATGAGTGTGCTTTATGTATGAGTATGTGAATTAATTTTGAACCGGCATTAAATGATAACTTCAATCATTTATCGCTTTTCAACTTAAATATGATTAGAGGTCAAGCTACGCATACATACATATATCTGTAGATTGCAACCACATTTTTAAATACACCTTTTAGAAACAAAAGGTGTTATGGAACGTCTCTGAGGAAATGTAGATATAATATATGTATATGTATGTATGGCATATATGTATGTACTTGTACATATGTCTTGTATATGTAAGTATATTCATGAGCATACAAGTAGAATGAACGAATTTTGGATTCTACTTAGCTAGGCGCTGTCTGTCTTCTAGGCAGTCGGTAAATCATCAAATATAGTAAAGTTTACTGAAATTTTCTTATTCCCAATTCTGTGAGTAGGAAAGAATTGATAAAGCTTAACATTAACTTGTAAATAATGCATCTATAATCTTTGTTTTGGGTGTGTAAATCTATTTAGTCCAGAATCAGTCCACGTATTGTTTCATATCGATAAGTTTAACAATTATTTAACAAAATTCGTGTCTCATCGTTTCTATCACATTATACTCCACAAAGTGGTACAAAAACTAGGCCGGCCTCGCATTACTTTCTAATAGTGCACAAGAAATATACATAAATGCCGTTTAGTAGTGCTGTATTTTATAACTGATTAGAATGCATTGTAGACTGGAAAGGAGTGCATATAGCTTTAAACTGGTTCCACTTTCAGGTGTATGCCCTGCTCAGTGTTCAGCGTAAAGGTGCGAGTGCTTAGAATTAGAGGCACTTCAGTACGTTTGCATACGTCGAACTTAAAATGTCGTACGAGCATAATAAGTCCAATCTTGGCCTGCATTTTGCCAAAACGCAAACCAATGCAATTCCTTGGTCCGTCCCCAAACGGCAAATAGGCGAATGGATTTCTGGCGGCCACAGCCTCGGGCGTAAAGCGTTCTGGATCAAAGCGTTCCGGCTCTGGATAATACTCCGGATCGTAGTGTATACTATGAACGGGTATTAGAACAGAAGTGCCTCCTTCAATGACCAAACGCGTGCCGGGCACCAGGAAATTCTGGTTGGCCTCACGCAGCAAATGTGGCAAGATCGGGTGTTTACGCAGAGTTTCTGCAGGAGGAAGTGAAATATAATGTACTATACATATGCAAAATGGAAAGCTAGTGCCACTTACCTGCAAGCACTTGATCCAGATAATGCATCTGTTGCATGGCCTCGTAGGTGAGCTCTCCATCGAGCGCCTCCAACACTGATTCAATCTCTTTACGCAGTCGATCCTGAATCTCCTGATGAAGTGCGAGTTCGTATAGGCAGAAGGCCATGGTACTGGACGATGTCTCAAATCCAGCTATGAAGAAGACAAAGGCTTGCGCCGCCAGTTGTTCGATGGTCAAGCCCTGCGATAGATCTATGCCACCTGCCTGTCGAGCTGTATCCTGATCTTCAGCAAGTAGTTCCATAACGAGACCCATGAAATCATTTCGTTTGATGTTGTTTTTCAGACGATAGTCGACTGTATTTTGCACGGCTTTCATGAAGAACTCAGATACATCATCGGGAAACAGTTTAAGGCGGAATTTGCGCGCCAGCTTGGGATTCGTGAAAATGAAAGACTGCACAAAGGGGGAGTGACGTGGCTTTTCAAAAAGCATACGTCCCTTGGTGCGAAACTCCGCCTGCGGGTCGGCTAGACTATTGCACTCTAGGCCAAAGGCGCAGGTGCCAATAACGTCGGTTGTGAAGCGGGCGCATAGTTCTTTGAGCTCCACATCGCCCTGATCTACGGCGGCGGCCTTGACGGTCGTCTTCATGGTGTCCGCCAGTCGCTGACCCACTTTCACAACAACGGTGAACATTTGCTTCATTTTGCCGGATGTGAAGACTGGCGTCAGTTTATTGCGTAACGAGCGCCACTCCTCGCCCTCCAGGGTGAGCAAATGTCCAGTCAATGGATCGTCGCGCACATTGTTGAATAGTCCGCGATCCTGAAATGTACTGAAATCCTTAATCAGCACCATTTTGACGAGCTCCAGATCGGTTATGAAGGCGGCGCGTCTAAAGAATATAAACATGCCGGCAAACGGTGTCTTCCCCTTGAAGCGATTATACATATGTTGATTGATATCGCGAAAATGGAGGCGGCCCCCAATAACGCCTCCAAAGTTGCCCACAATTGGCAGCGGCTTCTCGTGTGGCACCCCCATCCGTGTCCAGTAGTTGTACATATTGTAATAGTAGTTATAGAGCAACGCCGCAGCCACGCCCACAAGGGCAAGTATTGTGAACAGCATTTCAAACAGCAAGTCGAGCACTCATGTATATGTCTCAATATTAACTGCGCACTGGTTTATTTTCAAATGTTTGTTTCCAAATCAGTGCCCATACGTTAGAGCTTTTGCCGGTAAAGCTTTCTATGAGTAATGCCCAATTATGGTTACTATGCATTGCCATTATGTTAACATTCACAGCACATGTTAATCTAGCTGGAGAGAGAATAAGAGAGTAAAAACGAGAGTGCACCAGCTGATAAGCTTAAGCGATCATCGAATAATCAAATTGAGTATGTTTTTAAATGTTTGCTTCCAAATCAGTGCCCATGTTTTAGCCGGTAAAGCTTTCTGTGAGTAATGCCCAATCATGGTTACTATGGTTATTGACATTATGTTAACTGTCTACTTGTTAACATTTTAATCTAGCTGAGCAGAGAGTGAGAGAGAATGAGAGAGGAAGCTGATGAGCTTAAGCGATCATCGAGTAAGCAAATTGACTAAACACATACATACACATATATATACATACACATGGCTTGAAGGGTGCACAAACAAATAGCGGAGCAAGCTCTTGCGAATTAAATGATTTATGGTGTGCGCGTAAACAATACCGATTCTTACAAAATATTATTAAGTAAAAGAATATTTAAATATGTTTTTCTGTGTTCTTGCATTTTTACAAACCTGTGTTCAGTGTTTTTGGGGTCAATTCCTACTGTAAACCGTTGGAAGAAGCTGCTTATCAGCTGCATACAGAAGTACCTAGATATGTATGTATGTAAAAAACAGCCTCCGTTAAACAATTATGTATGAATGTATAAGAGAGACTTAACAGTTAAATCTGAACTTATCTGACTTATCAGCAAAAGCACATAACAACATATTTTGATAAACAGTGATCAAAAAGTAAAGTGATTACATTACTTATTATTATTTGTTTGTATTATTACAAACAACAACTATTTGTAAGCTGCTATGTTTAACATTAATTTAAAGAGGTAAGTTTTTAAATGTTATTATTAAATGTGATTGCAATTTAATAGTATTTAAGAAAACGACGCAAATATTGTGATGTTTATATGTAATAGGGATACAAAAGTATTTAAATCAGACAAATTTTGTGTTTTGTGAACCTTTAAGGGCGCGTTCACAATCCTATCTTCAATGTTTTACGGATTAGGTGAAAGATAATGTAGAATAATGTGCAAACGTGTGGCCCTCTGATTTCTAGACAAAGAACTCGCGAGCAGTCAAGCCAATTCAAGTGTACAATTTCATTTTGATGGAAGGGTATAACGAAAACTCTTAATTTATTAACTGGAACAATCTCTGTACTCTCGAAGAAATATTTTGCCTCTTGTAGCGCTATGAAAATAGATTACCAAACATAATTCAATTCTACGAAATACAAAGAGCTCTTCGAAAGCCAAGTGCTTTTCACTCAATTGGCTTCTGTGCTTTTGGGTTTGATTTTTGCTGGCAAGGCAATGCAGATGCCCTTCACGTTCCTTTGGTAAACCAAACGCACACGACTTGCTACCTGACTACGAGCATTTCTCAATTAAAGTCTCGTCTATTTGCTTTCATAATTGAATTGTCAGGCAGCGCTTCGGGGTACGACCATGGAGTCAAATGTTAAAGTTCAGCACCAACAACAACTATTGTTGTCGTCGATTATAGATGAGCCGTTGATGGTCCTGGTGTTTGTCGTTTGTCATTTGCCATTTGCTTTAATTAAACTTAGCAACTGCTAAATCAAATCACGCGCAACGTCTATGAAATATACATAAAATGATGAGATCGGCCAGACCTAGTGCCACGCCGAGTGGCCAAGGTCTTTTATTTTTATTGCAGTCAGTCAGTCCGTCATTGAATCGTGAGCGGAGCTTTATTACAAAATCGCGAGTAATTTATGCGAAAGCGATTAGAGCCGTATTAAATGTTTATGGATGTCGGGCCGTCTCGACGCGTTGTTCAAGCGATGGTCCCCGCCTCTATCCCGTACGTGCTTGTATAAATAATAAAATGGCGTTGCGCCTAAGAGCGTGCTATGTGTTGGCGCTGTGACTTTAAGCCGTGTTCGTAAGGGTATGTGTGGGTGTGTATGCTTAAAGGATTTTACTTAATGCTTACGTTCTGTTTTACGCCGCTAATGCGCCATTTTGGAAGAGGCATACAAAATGACGGCGTTGGCATCATGACCACCAGGCGGCACTGTGTTTAGACGACTTCCAATGAAGTGTGGCACATTAAATTGTCAACGGGCGATAAAAACAAAAATAAAAATAAAGAACAAAAGAACAGAGGAAACACCAAGTATTTCGATTGGTACTAAGCCACTTTAATACAAGAATGTTCAACAAACTTTTCAATCAGATTGGCCCACAAAATTGCAGGTTGTCCAACACTTAAGCCGACTATCCGGAAAACTTTTACCGCCCCATACCTAAAAAGCAGAGCTTGTAATTTATAGTGGATCCCAAAACATTTTCCACACAATTTGTGCCACATGTTGTAACTAAATCTAACAAAACGGAGTATAAATTAGGTGTAAGCGTCTTCGATAAAGTTAAGACTGGGTTCCATGTGGGCGCTTTCCGATGCCCCTTTTTATAGCCTGTACCCAAAGGGTGAAAGGCTATACTAGTTTTGTGCGCATGTATGTAACACACAGAAGGAGGCGTGGCAGACCCCACAAAGTATATATATTCTTGATCAGGATGAGAAGACGAGTCGATATAGCCATGTCCGTCTGTCCGTCTGACCGTCTGTCCGTCTGTCTGTATGAGCGCAAGGATCTCAGTAAGTACAAGAGCTAGGATAACCAAAATTGGTATCAAGGTTCCTATAAGCCCTAGGCAGAACGAGTTTGTTTATTTTTTTTGATTTAATTAATTTAATTTCTTCTTTTAATTATTAAGTTAGCAAATATATCATACAAAGAGTTTTCCAAAGTAAACAGGACTTTAAAAAAAAAGACAGAACAAATGGTTTTTTCGGCAAAATCAATTAATCAAAATAGTCTTCTTCTGCTTCAATACAGTTTTTTGCACGATCCAAAAGCATGTCGAACGAGTGTTTTAGCTCGTTGGCCGGTATGGCTGCCAGTATGCCGGTGCAAGCCTTTTGAATGGCCTCTACGTCTGCAAAACGCTTTCCTTTCATGGGCAAATGCATTTTTCCGAAAAGGTAGAAGGCGCACGGTGCCATATCAGGTGAATACGGCGAGTGGTTAATGGATAAAATGTGATTTTTGGACAAATAATCGGTCACAACGTCGATCGATGAGACGCAATTTTTGGTCGTCAGTCAATTTGTGCGGAACAAATCGTGCACACACCTTTCGTAAGCCCCAAATGTTCAATGTTCAATTCCATTTCCATCAATTTCAATGATGATTTCGGCTAATTTTTGATGAATTCACGCACAGTTTCGATGGATCATTTTGATCGTCATTTATGTCCTCACGACCACTTTGAAAACGTTGAAACCACTCGTGCATTCTGCTACGGGATAGGCAATCATCGCCATAAACTTGTTCCATCAATTGAATCGTTTTATCAATTTTAAAACAAAATTTAATGTTGGCTCTTTGTTCGAAGCTCATTTTCGCACCGATAGCACAAACATACTGACACTTAAAACGCAATGACAGAATTGAATAAAATGAAATTTTATACAACAGTAGATAATTTTATATAAATTATGTGTGCAAAGTTTGGTTTAGGTAGCATTTGAAATGTGGACGCTATTGACGAAATTCTGTAGCGGGGGAAGGGGGGAAGATTCCAAAAAATAAAATAAACTCGTCCTTTCTCGGACCTAGGAGAATCTGGATGCCAACTTTGGTTATTCTAGCTTTTATAGTTTCTGAGATCCTTGCGCTCATCCAGACGGACAGACGGACGGACGGATATGTCTAGATCGATTTCTCTCGTCATGCTGATTCAGAATATATATATTTTATGGGGTCGGAGATGCTTCCTTCTGCATCTTACATACTTTGCACAAACCTAATATACTCTTTTTACCCGTAGGGTATAATAATATCATCAACCCTTGGGGGCAGTTCTACTTGTGCATCCGCAGCCAAAAAGGATTACTGACCAGTTCACAAAAAGGGGATGAATATTAAACAAGTTTCACCATTAAAGTGTGTTTAAAATACAAAAGTAGACTCATAAAATGATTCATTTACATAAGAGAAAGAAACCGAGAAATCTACAATGCTTTTTTAGAAGCGATTCCATCCAGCAAGCTTTAATGCTCCAAGTATTTATTTAAGCTTGATACCAACTTGAAAGTGAATAATAAACGCCCAGCTACTACCATGACTTGCCCATGAAGTTGGTTGTTTATTTGGCCACGAAACAAGTCGCCTGCAGCGACTGCTGTCCATACTTTGCAGAACTTTTGGCAGCAACTCGGGAGCAAAGTTAAATTTGAGAGTGTTGCATTAGTGCAACAAAATAGTACGAAGAGGTACGATTAATTATTTCGGCAAATAAGAAAACTTCCTGCACACACACATACTCGTACACATAATCAGACATTTTGTGTAGTACAGTCACGCCATGTTGTCTAAAGTTTGCAATTGCCTGTTGGGGCCACACACAACAAAAAAGTTCAGCTGCAAACAAATGGAATAATTAGTAGCGTGCCACAAACACCCTTCTCTGCCACTGCACCTACACACACACACACACACACACTTATACAAGAACATATATATATATATACAAGTATGTTGGCATGAATGAAGCTGACGCTCATTTGAACTGTCAGCGAAAAAAGTTGCCGTGCTCCTGAGGCACATCAGGTGGGAGCTCCATTAAATTGCTAGATTACTGTGCATTTGTTTGTGGTTTGCTTGCTACACATTTTTCATTTTTCATTTATTTATTTGCCATGTACTTTGAAGCTTATGTTTTGTTTCATGTTGTTTCCACCGGCAAGGTTGAACTGTGTCGTGACAACCAAAATGTATTGCAGGACGAGCGCGTGGGGTTTTTTTGTTTTTTGATGACTTGACCATTGATTTCCGCTC